CTTTAGAGAGAAATTTAAGTTAGTTTATTCCTTCTCATGTCCTTCTTCAGTTCTCGTCAATATGATATATTGCTCAGTGAAATATTGTTGTTCAAATAATTCCATTCCCGGAGTTATTTTACACTCTATTATGAAATCCATCAAAACACCAAACCACCCCGCTTATCATTAAAGTACACTTTGACCCCTAGAAGTATGAGTTCGTGGACTATACAATTCTTGGTGATTTTGCGTACATAAGCTATCTATGTTTATTTATTTATCTATGGTGTCAACAGTTTTATGTACCAGATAAAATTATTAAAAATAGTGATAATTTTAGAATAAAGTGCTTCTCTTACAGTAAAATAAGTGCAATTTTGTGTTCTTTATTATCTGTTTTTACACTTTTTTATTTAATCTAGGAATAGTGAAATCATGTCAACTAACAGGAGAAAATTTCGTTTTCCTTTTTAAATTTGACACTTGTGACGTTGTATATAATTGGTACATTTCTCTGTTGCCACCTATTGTACTTGATAATCCATTTGGTTAGATGGGTTTTATTAGGGCTTAAACGTAGTTCTAACACGGGGTTAAGGAGTTAAATTGTTTAAATACTTTTCATAAAAATGGTTGAAGAAAATGAGTCACCAAGAAATAAAACTTATTCAGTCCCCTTTAAACGTATAATTAGGATTCTAAAAATAAAACTTATTCAGTCTCCTTTAAACGTATAATTAGGATTCTAGAAATAAAACTTATTCAGTCCCCTTTAAACGTATAATTAGGATTCTAGAAATGTTACCTTTTCATTCATATTATAGGACGTTAGAAGCCTCCATATCTTTCTTAACGGCAAATGAACATTTCATAAATTAACATTTCATGAATTTACGTTTCATCAATTATCATTGATCATGAATTAACATTTCGTGAATGAACATTTCATGAATTAACATTTCATAATATTTACATTTCATGAATTAACATTTCATGAATAAACATTGCATGAATAAACATTTCGATAATGACATTTCATAAATAAACATTTCATGAATATAGATTTATTAAAAAAACATTTCATGAATAAACATTTTATGAATAAACATTTCATTAATATACATTTCATGATTGAACGTTTCATAAATAAACATTTCATGAATAAACATTTTATAAATGAACATTTCATGAAAAGATATTTCATAACATAAAATTTGTCAAAAGAAATTTTATAAATAAACTGACATTTTATAGATGATCATTGTTATTTCTAGAATGAACATCAATTCATAAATTTCATGAATAAATATTTTATAGATGATCATTGTTATTTCTAGAATGAACATCAATTCATAAATTTCATGAATAAATATTTTATAGATGATCATTGTTATTTCTAGAATGAACATCAATTCATAAATTTCATAAATAAATATTTTATAGGTATAATTTTTATAGAGATAAACATTACTAGAAAGAAATTTATATAAAGGGATACTTAAAATTTCATTTTTCTAAGTTTTATTTATAAAATGTTTATTTATGAAATGTTCTTCTATGAAGTGAACATTTATGAAATGTTTATCTGGGATATTTATTTCCGTCAAATTATCCTATGCACATACTTTTTAATTTCAATCCTCAAACCCCCTGGTGTTAACTGGACTAGCAGTGAAAAATTCAACGGATATTAAAATCCTCTTCTAAGGATTTAATCGGTAATTATTTAGATATTTAAATATTTAATTCAGCTCTTTCTAACAATCACGCGGATTGATACACACTAAAGTATTATTGGAGAACATATATAGTTAGAGAGAGAGTTGTATCAAGATTGATACATACTTAAGAATACAGGGATAGTCGTATCTGGATTGAGACAGACTTAAAGTATTGTTGGAGTAATGCATTTGGTACATATCTATCTCTAATGTTGTCTATGTATCTATCTCTAATATTGTTTATGTATCTATATCTAATATTGTCTTTGTATTTATATCTAATATTGCCTTTGTATCTATCTCTAATGTTGTCTATATGTATCTATCTCTAATATTGTCTTTGTATCTATATCTAATATTGCCTTTGTATTTATCTCTAATGTTGTCTATGTATCCATCTCTAATATTGTCTATGTATCTATATCTAATATTGTCTTTGTATCTATATCTAATATTGCCTTTGTATCTATCTCTAATGTTGTCTATATGTATCTATCTCTAATTTTGTCTATATGTATCTATCTCTAATGTTGTCTATATGTATCTATCTCTAATGTTGTCTATGGCTGACTAGGTTTTATGAAAGGTATGTTACTGCGCCCAGTGATCTGCTTCACTGCAGGAATATATTTTATGTTCATGTATCCTCTATCCTATATATATCCTTGTATCTTGTATCCTTCTATCGAAAATATGAAAATATGAAAATATGTAAATATACAATAAATATAATATTTATATATATACAACAAATACAAAGAAGAAATAGGACATATTTACATGAATTTTCTTGTATACAAAAACAGAAAGACGCAGTGTATTAGAAAGCTAGGTCTGACATGTCGTCTTTGTACAATTCAGTCGTTAAGAACCATTTATTTTGTTGTTTGGTATTTGTTTGTCCATTTACTGCACTCTACAAACTTTACTTACCAACTCTTACTTCTTCTGATTTTACCGTACTGTACCAACTCTTACTTGTATTACAAGTACCGTACTGTACACACTCTAAATACTGTACAGTGTACAGTACTACACTGTACAAAATTCTTCTCCTTCTGGGACAGCCTGTTTAAACCTAGCAGAAAACCATTGGTCAAACAATTTAAGCTTCAAATACTAAATAAAGCTAAACAGCATAAATACATAAATACATAAATACATAAATACATAAATTCATTCATACATAAATACATAAATAAATAAATACATTAACATATGTATAAATACATAAAACTTATACATCTTACACGGTGCGCACTGAACAAAAGCAAGACTTTTTTGTATCTCCCTGTACAAATTCCAATTTTCCTTTTTAAACGAAGTTCACAGCACGATAGAACATTTTGTTAACCTTACAAATTGGAAAAAAAAACTTAAACTTTGCGTCTAAAAGAATATTCATACTTTCAAAAATCTTGTTTGTGTTTAAATCAATCAAAGTTTATAGAATAAATGATAAGCACCGAGCTTAGATGTAATGAATCCTATTTTTTATTCTTCTATACATAAATTTAGCTTGTCTGGGTGGGTGTCTGTTTGTTTGTATCCAATAAACGTCAAAACGGCTGAACCGATCGGGCCCAAATTTTGTTTTGGACCTCACGTGGCCCCAGGAAAGGTTTATGTATGATCAAAATTTCAAATATTTGCCTCCATCAAAATTGGATTTTCATTGAATTTTTGAAAATTTTGAAAATCCACGAAATTGTTTGTTAAAATCCGCGAATTTTTTTTTGTTTTGTTTTACAATGTACAAAAAGAGAACATGTTCACAATTAAAATAGAAGATGGGCGCGAAGCGCCCTAAAAGGCTAGTACTTTAAACTCCTTTCCAAACACTCCCTTTAACAATAAAAATAATCTGAAGTAAATTAGTTTTGCCCAAGATAAACTACTTGTTTTTCGTTCATATATCTTAACATTATCATGTTATTGTTCAATGTACAAAATAAAACAAATTATTTAACCTTAATGGGACTGTAGGCGTAACTTAAAGTGACTCTACAGTTAGTAAAGTGACCGTAGACGTAACTTGAAGTGACTCTACAGTTAGTAAAGGAACTGTAGATGTAACTTGAAGTGACTCTACAGTTAGTAAAGGGATGGTAGACGACACTTGAAGGTACTCTACAGTTAGTAAAGGGACCGTATACGTAACTTGAAGTGACTCTACAGTTAGTAAAGGAACTGTAGACGTAACTTGAAGTGACTCTACAGTTAGTAAAGGGACTATAAAGACGTAACTTGAAGTGACTCTACAGTTAGTAAAGGGACGTATGTAAGCGTAATTTGCCCCTCTTTCCGCACAAAAATGTCATGGCAGGATTTACAACGGTACCCTTGAAACCTCAAACTAATCAATAATGTGGAAGAGATATTGCCTTTTTTAGATTTAACAGAGTTTAATTCAGATAATTTCCATATGTTTTTCTGCAGTATAAAATATACAACTTTTTTTTGATATGTATTGCAAGCTTGACTAGACGGGACAGTAATCCAAATAAATTATAGTCACCTTCTAGTGAAATTTATGTGAATCGGGCATTGACATTATATGCATGGGGTGGGACACTTGAAATTTCCCTTAAAGTTCCTTTATGTGACATGTCGAATTACTAAGGACTCCTTTTAACAAAAATTGAGTTATTCCACGTTTTCTTTCTTAAAATTGACTGTTTTCAAATGCCATTGTAAAAGTTGTTAAAATTCAAAACTTTTAGATAGATTCATAACGTTATATTCTACATTTCATTAAGGTTAGAAAGACGTATAAATAATATTAGAAAAAATGTTGCGTTAACAAGAAACGAGCCGTGTTGATTCTACCATTAACAAACTCCATTACGCTTGAGTGTCAGTCATTTATTTATCAAAAACCTTAGAAATAAACCCGAGGGGAAAATGCCAAATTGTACCATGTTTAAAGGATATACGTTCGATAGTTAGATATGTTGAAAGACAATTCAAAATATTTTAGAATTTCAACTTTTTGTAATTCCCGATTAACTTTTGGATCCGGTAATCATATTTGAGGTCAAAGAACTCAGTGTGTATATCTCTTAAAAATTATTTTAACTGCCGTAACATGTACGCTAGCATACACTGTGAAGTCAACTCAGCTGACGCTGGACTTATATTTCGAAAATACCGAATATTCTACAGCTGGTGTCCAAAAATTCAGTGACAACTGTGATATCGTCTTCGACCATGCGTCATTTTTTTATGAACACGATTATTGCAGTATTCTAGATTAAACAACTTATATCGAAAACGCTTGGTCTTGAGATTTTCAAAATGGTGTATCTAAATTGTCGTATAGCGGGAGTGTACGCTGGCGTACACTGTGAACTCAACTCAGCTGACGCTGGACTTATATCTCGAAAATACCGAATATTCTATGTTCAAAGAGGTTTTCTAAATTTTGATTGTGAATATTTGTTTACTCCGACTTTTAGGAAGAAGAAATATAAATAAATACAAACGTTTCTGTAGATTAATAAGGATCAGTAAAGGGTACTGTTGTGAATTGGACTGGCGCCACTCTGCAAATGGAGGGTCACTTTAAAATACGCCTACAGTCCCTTTAATAGCTAAGAATAGCATACAATAAAGATAAAGTCATGACAAAAACTCAAATTTTCCAATCCCTATATCTTTGCAATCTAATAGTGTAAACCTTTGATATTTCAAGCTTAGATTATTCAATCCAACATAATTCATACAATGAAAACCAGATAACAATGGAATAGGAAGACGACATTATAGCGATAACTAAGTGTATTTGATATTGTTACAAAGCAAATAGTTTTATTAGGCGCTTATTAAATCACTATTTTAGTGAACTTGGTCTGTTTAAACTGCACAGAAGCTGTGTCTCATGCTCATTGGACTTTTAAAGTTATAACTTTATAGGCTAAAAGTCGCTAAAAGTTTTTATGTTATCACTGTAGTTTGAAACATCTAATGTCTACGACATTGGTTGGAAAGATATAGAGATTAGAAAATCAGAGTTTGCGGCAAAGACTAATTATTTTATACTATCATTTTCCTTAATTAATTGTTAAAATGGTGAACTAGCATAACAGAATGTCTATTTCAAAATACTCTTGATACCCCCATTTTTGAGATTTGGCCACACAAATCAATTTATTTCACCGCCCAAAGATGTTCCTGAGTACTAGAACAATAAAAATTTAATAAAAAACTGTTAATAATTTTAAAATCAAAACCGCATTTTTTAAGTTTAACAAAGTGCCGCGAATTTTTCAATTTGAAGTAAGTTATAATTTGATTTTTAATTAATTATAAATTACTTGTCCGAAAACCCATTTTTAAATTAGAGATGGGCAAGATGTTTCAAATATTCAAAAGATCAGAAATATTTGTGGAAATAGTTGAACTACTGTTACAATGCTCTCTTATACTTTTGAAGAGTTCAACCATCCATGCTGAGTTTAACTACTTCCTCTTATTTATCAAATCTGACCTCAGTAAGCTTTTTGAATTTTTAACCATGTTTTTAAACTTAGAAGTACTTTGTTTTCTTGAATGTAAACCTGAACGCTAGATGGGCAAACTACAACGTTTAAAGTCGGAGATAGTTTCAACGTAACATGGCATCTTGGGTATCCTCACAGAGGTAATAATATATATAAAGTAGAAATCTCTGTTTGTCCGATCATAACTCAGTAACCTCTGGACAAATTTGCCTCAAATTTTGATTGAAGAACTCGGTGGAACTTTCTTATTAGTTCTTAGCTTGCAGTTTACAAATTTTTAATTGAGTGGGTTGACTTTTATTGAAGTATAGTTAGTTATCAGGCAAAGCTGGGTTTACAAGCTATTCTATATTTATAAAGTAATTATCTCTAATGTTGGTTTGTATTTACGATCATAATTTATGAACCCCTTGACCGATCTTTGTCTTAAACTTTGATTTCGGAAAATAAGTTGTGCGGGCTGACTTTAAAGTGTAAGATTATTTTTCAGTCAAAGCTGTGTTCTATACATATATATAAAGTAGTAATCTATGTTTGACATAACTCAGGAACCCCTTAATCTCTTTAAGACACAAATTTAAATCGGAGACCTCATTAAAACCATGAAATGTTTTTAGCTTGGTTTGAATATTTTTAGTTTAGTGGAATGAATTAAAAAAAATCCCCTCTATTTTCTTATTGTGATACAAATTTATAACATTTGATACGTATTTGGAAAGCCCTTGACCCAGCAGAATTAAATCTGCAAAAATATTTCAAAATTTTTAAAACCTAAATGTGTATTCAAGAAAAACTGAAAATTCCTTTTAAAGGCGTTTGTGTAAAAATCTGTGCAAAATTTCTTTGCAAATTGTACAATCTGGTTGCTTTTTTTTAGAGGCTTTCCAAAGAGCTATAAAATGTTGAATGTTGAATCGGGATTAATGCTTGATCCCCTTTTTTCTTAATCTCCAGATTAAATAATGCTTGTTCTCCTCTTGTTGTTATTAATCTCCAGATTAATTAACCGATCGGGATTAAGGATATCCCATATCAGCTTAGCCGAGACTGAGATTTTTCAGATAAGATAAGTTTCTTCTGGTAAGAAGAAAACATTAAGTTCTCTTTACAAAACATGGTTTTTTCCCGCATTTTCTTGCATCAGGTCCAAAGAATGAAGAGTTATCTATTTTCCTGGTCCAGACCCTAGTTCTGGATCCAGTTCAGGTTCATGGTTCTGGTTTGTGTTGCAGTATAGTTCCTGCTACTGCCGATATTGAAAGAAAGCCTACGCACGCGACTACTCAGTTCTCAGTTGCTCTCTGGCAGCTGAATTGTTAGGATGTTGCAGTCCTGGATTCTAGGACTAAGCCTTATTTGGGCAACAGATACTGTTAGGAACTGAATTAGTGATACATTATTTTAAAAAGCAGGATTTCACCGGGATGGAAATGGAAAACGTTTCCGTCATTTGAATATTAATAAATCCTTATTTTTTTTGTTTTTTTTCCGCTCTGTTAATTAGCTTGACAAAATATCTTTGAATTTTAGAATTGGATCCATTTCTTCTTTGTATATTCAAGGTTCAATAAATACTAAAATATCTAAGAACTGAGTTATATTATTCAGATTGCCAAAAATAAATCTTTGTTATCTTAATCATGTAATAATTATGACTTGAAGAACCTATATGAGAGCTCCAGGGGAAACATTTGTTTTAACTTTGTAAATTTTTTTCACGCTTTCTGGAGTATTTACTGCAAAATTTACTACACTTTGTACTGTTTACTGTACAGAGCGTCCCATATCATATTAGATAATCTCCAATCTTTAACGCCAAAATAATACTCGAAAAATCTAGCATTTTATACCAAAAATTTTTTATTATTAGCCTTATTCAATTTCTTAAAATGATTCATTCTTCTTAAATTTTCTGATTTGTCCCCCAAATCTTAATTTAGACCCATTGACGCGGTCTAATTTGATGTGGGACACCCCGTACATCCCCAGGATTTTTTATACTTCATTTTTATTGTGCAGTTTGTGTTGTTGACTAATTTGATAAAATGTAGTGGACATGTCTCCCTGACCTATCCTCCAGCCCGAGGCCTCAGTTTGGATTTCTTGGATAATATAAGAACCAAGGCACCATGTGGAATGCCAAAAGGAAATTTTACATTTCAAAGATTAATTCTTTATTGACATTTATGATAAATTGAAAAATTGCCATTTTCATTTTATTTTTTTTTTGGATACTCGATTACTTTCCTATAGTTATGCGAAAAGGAATTGAGTCTTTGCCGAAAACTCAAATTTTCCAATCCCTATATCTTTGCAATCTAATAGTGTAAACCTTTGATATTTCAAGCTTAGATTATTCAATCCAACATAATTCATNAATAGAAATATAGTATGGCGGTAACATCTATCTTCCTATCTATCTCATTATCCAATCAGAGTTATGTATCCTTCAATCGGCCCTATCAGTAAATGGAAATATTTGCTTCTACTGAAACTATGGCGCCGTAATGTATTAAAGACCCAAATTTAAATCGGGGACCTTATTAAAACCATGAAATGTTCTTAGCTTGGTTTGAATATTTTTAGTTTAGTGGAATGAATTAAAAAAAATATATTACTTTCCGGACGAAGCTGTGTCCCAAGCTAGTATCTATATATATACATATAATCTCTGTGTGTCTGTTCATATCTCAGAAACCCCTTGACCGGTTTAAGTCTCAATTTTTATCTTGTCAGCAATAATCTTCTTAGCTTGGTTTAAAAACTCTTAGTTTTGTGAGTTGACTTTAAACGGGAAAACTTATAGCTTCCAGGCAAAACTGGGTTCCAAAGCGAGTACAGGGTAGTAAGAATAATTGTGAAAAATCTAAAAATATTAAATTTAAGAAATGAATTAATGATAGTATAAGTGAAAACATATTGGTTCTCTGTTAGGATAAGTTGATTATTTCCGAAGTAATTTTGTTGAATTAAATAGTTAATTTGATTAACGTAATCTAAATCAATCTTGATTAAATTCAATTGAATTGAATGAAAGGGAAACTTATCTTTAAAACCAGCTGTGTAGTGTAAAACACATTTTTATATCTGCAGAATTTATGAAGAATATCAACGGTTTTAAAACTAATCCCGTGGTTTAATGTGGTTCCCCTTGTTCATCTTGGTTTTACAAATACAGTATTTCTCCTTCTAATCAAAGACTATGTTCACAAGTAATAAGATATGTGCATTGTCTCTTGATAAGTTTATAGACGGCTTTTTTATCTTTAAGAAGCTTCAAAATATTTTTAATCTTATTTCAAAATGTATGCTCTTTGAGTTTGGTGCTTTTACTTTGTGCTAAAGTGGAACTAACATCTACTTTTTTACTCTACAGAGGTTTGGTCCATCACTGAATTTGAAATGAAATAGGTCTTTGCCACAGTCCAAATTGTCTAAATCTTATATCTTTTTAACCTAATGGTGTACACCTTCAAACCTAGATTATTTGATCCCACAGATTTCATGTTTTGAAAGGTCTACGACATTGGGTTGTAAAGATATAGGAATTAGAAAATCAGAGTTTGTGACAACGCCTCAATTTCTTTGTACTCCGACATAATACATACGGTCAGAGCGAAAAATTAAAACTGTGAGTTGATAAATCTTTTTGTTCATGTGTTTTTTAATAAAAAGCCTAGTTGTAATTGCCAAATCAAAAACAGTGATCATTTATAACATGTTGTTAACGGATAACATGAGCAAACACACCAGATAAATTGAACAATAGGCCCGTTGGAACACTAGTGGGGGATATATATTTTCCCCAGACAAATATTTCCAGGTTGGCCGCAAACACACACAACAGAGTAACCCCCGTCTCAAGAAAATCGATAACAAAAGCTTTATTTCCTAAAAAATAACATAAATTATAGGTTGGTTACTTGTACAAATGTTATAATAAATATTAATAATAGAAAAAATCTTACAATTTATTAGCGGATGATAAAGGGGTTAACTTATTGTTGATCAATATTAAAAGACGTTTTTAAACTTCTGAAATAAATGACAGTTGAATATTAACGAAAGTCACTAATTCTTCATATGAAAATATTCTTTGTTTAACTTTTGAAATGGATTCACAATAAACGAGAGTGTTTAGACTCCGTCCCCGGAGAACAAAGAAAATGGGGCTGAAATTATTTGGTTTGGTGTCTCCGAGAGGGGATTTTAAGTTAAAGACGACATTACACGGCGATCTTAAAGTTTATGGTTAACACATGTGATTGCAAAATAATTATCCTTCAAATTTTAGTTTTTCGCACATCCTTCCCCAATAAAGTAATTCTCCTTATCAGAGGCCCTAGGTTTAGTTGAGAAACCAACATTTGGGATTCCCTTTATTCTTTCCAAGCCTATTTTCACATTTCTAAATGATTGTTCACATAATAGAACAACATGATTTTGTTTGTTCTTGCATTTTATTATTGCTTACAATAATTTTATGCAAAAAATAGGCACAAATAAAAATAGTTTTTGAATATTTTTTTTATTGTTCAAATATGAAAACAAAACTTGAAAAACTAGCTAAAAAGTTTTCAAATAATGCTTTGCAAAAAAGTTGTTATGGTTTTTGCACACAATTTTTCTTTAAATGACGCCGTAAATATAATGATTTAAAGATAAGGTGAAAGAATTGCATTTCGTTGCTTTAATAAGATGAAAACCAGATTTCTTTGTTAGAATACCATCATTGTTAAATAAATAAAGGTTGCACAACAATTCTTAAACTTTTAGTGTTGTCAACATTAAACCTCTTTAGGACTGTACAAGCTAGGTGTAACATTATAAATGCTAAGATCCTTTGATTAAAATGATTTCGGGAACTTTGCCCCCTTTTTATGAAATGACTTTAGTTCTATACAATACTGCAGATTTTTAAAAGCCTCACGAGTAACTAATGCTACGGAATAAAATTCCGTCAAGATATGGCAGGAATTACAAAAATCATTTGCATTTAATAAGGGGAGACTTACTAAATACTGTACACTTAGTGTAACTGTACATTCACTGTAAACTGTACACTAACTGTAAACTGTACATTAACTGTAAACTGTACACTAACTGTAAAATGTACACTAACTGTAAACGGTATATCTGTGTAAACTGTACACTTACTGTATGTGAAATGTGTAAACTGTAAAATAAATTTGTGTATTCTGTGTAAACTGTTGACTAACTTTGTGTATTCTGTGTAAACTGTAAAATAAATTTGTGTATTCTGTGTAAACTGTTCACTAACTTTGTGTATTCTGTGTAAACTGTTCACTAACTGTGTGTGCACTGTGTAAACTGTACACTAATTTTGTCTGTTCTGTGTAAACTGTTCACTTACTGGGAGTGAACCGTGTAAACTGTTCACAAACTGTAAGTTGTACAGTTTGAACTGTATACACTTGCTGTAAGCTGTACCGTTTAAACTGTACACTTATCACCCATTTAGAAGATATACGGCAATGAATTAGGCCTCAAAGCGAATGAAAACGTTTGAAAAATGTTTATTGTTGAAAAGTTTTTAGATTAAACTTCTCAGGTTTTCATCTCTCTCGAACCAGGAGAATAAGATTATGCATCAAAGCCGAGTTGAAATATAGAATTTAACACTTCCTCTGCTTTTCAAAACTTAAACATTTTCAAAAGCTCATAAGACGTTTGGTCTTTATTTTAAAAAATTTTGTCATTTATCAACTACCGGAAATCGAAAATGATTTTCAATTCGTCTCCTAATTCCCATGTTTTTGGGACACACAATGTTTTAGTCCTATTAGGACTTATCAGAATGGCTCAATTCGTCAGTTTTTGATTTTGCAGTTGGCGGGGGGCAATTGAACCATGAATCCTTGGATTATGGATCAAACACGCTAACCACTGCTCCATCAAACCCTGATGATTGGGTAATGAATGCATTATATATTTATACATAAAGATATATAAAGCAGAAAATACAAATATATTTTTTGCCTCTCCAACCTAGACTCGCCTTACACATTAATCAAATTGGTTTAATATGTAAATCAGAGAAATAAAACATCAAGAAATTATAAATTTATTCACAAATATTGTAATCGTCTTTGATACACGCGAGGCATTTTTTCTAACAACATTTTCTCTTTACACTGAAAACATTTCAAATCAAAAACACCAAAATGGGATTTATTAAATGTTGTCTGTCTTTTTTGTACATCATTGGGGCTTTATTATTCAGTTTATCAAGTTAAACCCAAAATGTTTTAAGGAATTGAGTCGTTGCCACAAACTCATATTTTCTGACCCATATTTCTTTGCAACCTCATGGTATAAACCTTTGATATTGAAAACATAGGTTATTTTATCAGAATTCAAAGTTTAAAATATCTAAGGTCTCCGGCATTAGATTGCAAAGATATGGGGATTAGCAAATCAGAGTATGTGGCAAAGACTCAATTTCTTTCCACTATTTTTATTACTTTCCGGTTAAAGTAGGTTATAGACCACATATGAACCTTTTTGCTCTTTATTTACATTTATAAAGTAGTAATCTCTGTTTGTCTGTCTATTTGTATGTCCGATCATGGACCCCTTGAATAATTTGCCTCAAATTTGATTGGGGAACTCGGAGTTTTCAAATAATATATTTGAAAAGGCGAAAAGGTCTATTAGGCAGCTGCAGGCTAGTTAAACCAACAATGTAGGATTCATTAAAGTACAGGGTTACCCACAAAGAATGAAACTTCAGAGACGACTGTACGGAAATTATTAAGACGTTTTTCTTACAGTCTTGGATCCCTGCAACTGGAAACTTGGAATCCTTCATTAGATTAGTTTAATACTATATTTCACCAAATTATACCAAATTTACCCTTCAGATCATTATATTTAGGTCGTCATTAAAGTTTAATCCTTTGTGGGGGACCCTGTATATGTTTGTAATGTTTGAGAGACAACATAGAACAAGTTTTTATTTAGAATGACAACCAGAATTATTTAATAGATCCTGCAGGCAATTATACTTCTATACCTTTACAATACATACAATACATATACTCATCAAACATTTCAATAAAATACAGAATTAATGGGAACTAGGGTTTATACTGAATAGTTAGATTTACTACTGGATTTGTCATCAAGAGATATAAGCTTAAATTGTTTTTCACCATTTACATTCTATCAATGGTGTTTAGTGTGAACTATTCAAATGTAGGTTTATAAGATAAATATAATTGTACAATCTAACCTTTCAGGGTTCTCCCAAGTACCTTAGGTAACAGATTCATGTTGAGAACGAATTATTAGGGTCGGATTCTGCAGTAAGGCTGGTATGTTTGCACTTCTTGCAATATTGTCTAGCTTGTATATTTTACTCAATAATTGGCAAAGCGTACATCTCGTGATATCTACCATTTTTTGAGCTTTGAATAATAACACTTTATGTTTGCCAATGACATACAATCCGACCTTATGTTTTATTTGTTCAGTTTAGACCTTTCAATGGTGTTTTTAAGAGCAATTGTTAGAAAAATGGCAATACGGAATTATTATATGAGAATTTAAACAGTAATACAGGGGCAAAACTAAGATACTCAATTATCTTTTAGGCTGTACACCAAATATTTCGTTCTCTCCGTAAATATTTTATCTAAGGTACCTGAGAGAACCCTGAGAAATTAGATGTTTTGAACAAATGAATTTATCTGAAAACCCTACATTTGACTATTGTGTGTAGTGTGGTGCATATAGCACATACAAAAAAAATAATATCTCTTTTTCCCCACGTTCACCTCAATACAACCAATTAAAATTCTAAGAATGTAAAATGTTTTCTAAACCTTATTACGTCTATTTCCCAAAGGTTAACCACTACATTTTGTTGAAATCGCTAATTTCAATTTTGAATATATTTTAGTTCAAATTTTAACAAGTTGGGAATGATAAGTATCGAAAAACACTATTTTGCTTAAAAATTTTAAACTGCAATTTAAAAGCTCACTAAAAATAATTTTAAGCAAATCTTTTTTTATAATATGCTTTCTACTTGACATATTTTCTACTATTTACCTATTGAGCAATTAAAAGAAATTGTTTTGCATTATAACATTTAAATACAAGTTAAACTTTAACCATTACAATTATAACCTCAAGTTTATGAAGTGCATTCATTTTACTGTAGTTATTTTTAAACTAAAAGCCTAGAAAACAAACTTAAATCAAGTATTAAAGATTAGATTTTTTTTCAATTTAAATATGCATTTAAAATGATTATACAGGGTGCCCGAAAAAAAACGTGACAGTTGAGATTGTCTAGACTTAAAAATAGTCTTTTATCGCCTTCTACTGATCCATTCAAACGACTGAAAAGTCACATGCAACCGTTTTTTCATACACCACGCTCCACCGGTGTACATTTGAATATCCGAGCTGGGCCAACCTTTTAGCTCCTAGTTTGGACTGTATACCGCCAATTTACAATTACTAAACCAGCAGAGGAGTGAGACACACTTTGTCCTCAATTATCTATGCAAGACGACCTCTAAATCGTCTCTCAGCTCTCATGATCAAAAATATATCTTTTCAAATAAACCGTCTATACGGCCGTATAGCTTAATGTTCACTAGATTAAACAGATATAAAATGTCGTCTTATTCAAGACATCAATTAAAGAGAATTGAAGTATTGTAGGTTTCTACAGAGAGGACAAGAATTATTTTTTATAATCTTTATCTATATAATATTGGCAAAAAAACATTTCGTAAACACAATTGTAGTCGTTCCCAGTTAAACATTAAGAAATAGAACCTAAAACTATTAGTCTATGGATTTCTAAAACTATTAGTCTATGGATTTCTAAAACTATTAGTCTATGGATTTCTAAAACTATTAGTCTATGGATTTCTAAAACGTGGTCTATCATTTCTTTACTTTAAAAATTGACGAGAAAGGAATTGAGTCTTTGCCAAGAACTCTGATTTTATAATCCGTAGTTTTGCAACTCAATGTCAAACTATGAATTTTGCTAGTTCAAATGATTTAAGTTTGAAATATTAAAATTGTTTACACAATCAGGTTGCAAAGATATAAGGGTTTAGAAAATATACTAGTGGCAAAAACTCCGATCCAATCATTATTCAATGTATTAAAATAAGCAGAATTGTTCGACTGTATAATTTCTTCGTCAATCTTAAAGTTACAATGAGGTAAGACTCCATTTTGGAAAGTTCAGTGGACGTAAAAACTTTAAAAAAATGTTTTTCCTTAATTAATTATAGGAAATCAAAGACGATTCAAGTCGTCCCTGAATCCTCATGATTATTGGAACAATAATACAATAATAATTTAACGTTGTGTTTAGGTGGGTTTAAACTTGAGCTCCTGGATGCAAACGACAAGTTGCTGAATCCCTTGACTCCGGAGGGGGCTGGAAATAAGAAGGACGGATTTGATGATGAGGATTCAACTCAGCAATCCTTCTCCGTAACTCTGCCAACAAAAGAATGTTTAAACTGCTCGGTAGGTTTAACGACGCGTGACAAACTGAGATAAAGAAGAAGAGGAAAATTCCATTGATGAATTATGGCGTCATAACCATAACAAAACCCTTGCAAATAAAGATTTTGCGGTGACAAAAATGACAAGTTTTGAATTCTTTAATTAGTATTTAATTTGCAATTATATTATCTTAATGGTTAAAAACAATTTTAAGTGGAACCAACCATATTTGAGCCGCGTCTCAAATTTAAGCCGCGGCTCAAATTCTTTAAATTCGGCTCCAGGGCATGCTTAGATTAGTTTGAAACCGAACTTTGCCCCAATTTATGTACACATTTATAAACAATCTCTCAATTTTGATCAAATAAATAAATTGATTCTCATTCCTATATCTTCGCAACGCATTGTCGTAGACCATGAATTTTTCAAACTATGAATGGTGTTAGATTAAATAATCTAATTTTGAAATAGCAATAGTTTACACCATAAGGTAACAAAGATATAGGGATAAGAAAATTTGAGTTTGTTGCAACGACATTTAATATTAATGTGTAAACATTTTTTATTTCAAATTTATTTTATTTGATCTAACATAATTCATCTGTTGGCATTGAGTTGCAAAGATATAAGGATAAGAAGATCAGAGTTTGTGTCAAAGACTCAATTCTTTTATTTATTCTATATATTTAGATTAGGTTGGTTCGGCAGGCTGCAGAGTGGGGAGGAAGATACAGCTTCTGGTCTTGCTCAGATATAGATATTGTAAAGAACACACAGAGGTCAGTTTTCATACTGTGGATACAGTTGTAACCAGACAACAGTAGAATGATTGTCGTCTTCTTTATTTCTTTTAATTGTGAAATTTCGGTAAATATTTTGTAAATGTAAACAAATTTTTTCTAACAAATATGCACTGACAATTTTCAGAAATACATCAGTTAGTTTTACGTTGTTGAAGGGGGCGGGATAAAAGTACGTGTTTAGTAAAAGTCCACCCCTGCATAACAAATAAATTAATCTAAACCACTTTAATCTACAAAGTCACCAATATTGGCTAAACGTTTCATTTTTCATCCTGTGTTCTGACCCCCTGAATAAAACTTGGCCAAATTTGTCATCCTGTGTTCTGACCCCTTGTTAAAACTTGGCCAAAGGAATTGAGTCTTTTCCATAAACTCTGATTTTATAATCCCTATATCTTTGGATTCCAATGTCGTAAATCTTTGATATTTCCAACTTATATTATTTGATCTAACAGAATTCATAGTTTGAAATATCTAAGGTCTACGACATTGGAATCCGAAGATATAGGATTTAGAAAAGCAGAATTTGTGGCAAAGACTCAGTTCCTTTGTCATCCTGTATTCTGACCCCCTGATTAAAACTTGGCCAAATTTGTCATCCTGTATTCTGACCTTCTGATTAAAACTTGGCCAAATTTGTCATCCTGTATTCTGACCCCCTGATTAAACTTGGCCAAACTTGACAGCTTGTATTCTGACCCTCTGATTAAACTTGGCCAAACGAATCACCCTGTTTTCTGACCCTCTGATTAAACTTGGCCAAACGTATCACCCTATTTTCTGAACCCCTTACTAAAACTTGGCCAAACGTTTCACCCTGTTTTCTGACCCCCTGATTAAAACTTCTGACCCCCTGAAGAGGAAGTAATATTTCTTCCCAACTGGAAAAATAGAAGGACGGGATTTATCAGATAATCCTGAATATCCTTGAAGATTAATCAGTTCAGGTTTAAATATGGATCATTATCTCGGCCTGGTTTTCATCAACTTCTCATTAAACCTGTTCTAAACATGATAATTTTTGTCATTTTATTTCCTAATTAACAGGAAGTTAAGTTTTTATCAAGAGGCTGAGTAAAAAATTCGTTTTTCTTGAAAAGATTGGCAAATGGGAACTGTCTTCAAATCATTTTTAAATTTAATTAAATTTAAATTTAAAATTTAAAATTTAAATTTTTATAATTTCATCAATAATGGAGATATCTCAATCCTAAATTTTATTCTAAATTCCATAAAAAATCGACTGGTTCAGAGTTTTTCAGATAAAAATTTACAATTTATGATGTTTTTAAAGGAAGCTTGAAATATAGATTTTATTTTCTTGTATCTATATTTGTTAAAGATATATCTATGAATGTTTATGTTTAGTTCTGTATGCGGAGAGAAAGGAGAGGAGAAGGATGGATCCTGCTCCTGTAAACCTGGAGCATACGGAGACAGGTAGGAGGAGATCCAGATAGAGTTAGAGAGTAGAGGAATAAAGTAGAAGAAAAATGATTAGTAGAAGTAGAATAAGGATTGGTAGGGGTTGAAAGAATGTATTCTATAGTAGTGGACGAATATGTAGTGGTAATGTTTGCAGTGTGATTCAACCAAATATGACAACATTTTTATTAAAAAATTGATTTACTTAGATGCTTTCGATACTGTACTGTGCCTTCATAAAACAGAAAAAACATCCAACATATTTTTTAATACGCAATTTGTCAAGAAGTCAAAGGTTAAAGATTAAAGATTAAAGAGTAGGAGTGAATAAAAAGAGTAGTGGAGTGTGGAGAAGTAGGAGAGTAGGGTAGGAAAGGAGTAGGAGTATTAGAGTAAGAGAATAAGAGTAGGAGTAGATTAGAATAAATGAATAAGAGTAGGAGTAGGAGTAGAAGAGTAGAATAGGGGAAGACAATGGATACGATGATAAGAAGGAGTATGTGTATAAGTATAGAGATTAATATTAAATGTCGTCTTGATTATCCTAGATGTGAATTTACAGAGGAATGCACAAAAGATGAGGATTGTGGAGGACCAGACAGGGATCCAAGATACATTTAAATTATAAGATCTTTATAAGAGTTTTCAAGAAAATAAAAATAATGAAAAATATGTTCAGATTACACAAAAAAACAATATTTTATTTTTGTTTTAATAAAATCTAGCAAAGAAGTATATTTAATTTATAACTGAAATGTGCTTTGAATATTTCTAGCAAAAAGTAAAAAAATTTGAAAGAAACAAATAGCAAACGTTTGATTGAACTTTCAAGTTGTCTACAGTTCTCATCGTCTTTTACAGATGTTTGGAACTTTTAATAAGTTATAACTAAGGACCAAAACAATATATACGAATAAATATCTCTAAAAAAAAATTCACAAAATTATTTTTTTTAAATTTTATATATTTTGTATTTGCCGCAGAGGTGAATGTATACTACCTGAGGGAACAACATTACCTAGGTAAGTAAACTAGCATATCTTTATTATTTTTGCGGATTTTTTGTTTTGGGATTAATGTTTTAAAATATTTAGTTTCAAAAATTTCCCTAAATCTAAGGATTATACATTGTCCCATGTATTTGTTTACTAACTAAGTGTACTGCAGTTTTTAAGAGGAATATAAGCAATACTTTGTTATCTAAATATATAAAGTAGTAATCTCTGTTAGTTTGTTTGTATATCCGATCATAATTCATGAACACCTCGACAGATTTTCATTTGAGAACTCGGAATAACCACGGAAATGTTCTTAGTTTGGTTTTGAGATTCTAAATTGAGTGGGTCGACTTTAATAGGGGGAAAAATAGTCAAAATCGTAATTTAAGACTAAGTGCGGATAAACGGCGGGAGTAACTTTGAGTAACCTGTGCAATGCTGGGAATCAAAGCTAGTATTAATATGTTATAAGCTGAATAAGTAGCACTTTCTTTGTTTACATTTCTCCCAGAATCTGCAGTACAATTAGTTTAAAACCAAAACTATTAAAGTTTCTGGTATATATACCTTGACTAAGTTAATTAAGCACCCAGAAATATGTTGATTAAGTATGTTTGGTTTCAGAATGGCTCGGGTTTGCTATTGTAAGATGGGATACTACGGGAAGGATTGTGGGAAGGAGTCTGTGCTTCGGGAGCATATAAAGAGCCAGGATGGATATAGTATGCAAGAGCTGAGTGATAACCTTTCCCTTTACTGGAGAAAGGTTGAAGACAAACAAGAAATCGAGATTGCTCTCAGGAATTTCATTCATTTTTTTTAAACAATGCAATCTCTGTCAAAAACTCAAATTGTATAATCCCCATTTATCTTGGCAACTTTAGTATTTTAAACTTAGATTATGTCACTTAACTGAATTCATATCTCGGTCTCCGACATTGGATTGCAAAGATTTATGGATTAAAAAAATCAGAGTTTGTGGCAAAGACTCAAATCAAATTTTAAAAATCGAAAAACTTATTTTTCCGAAAATTCCTAAATTAAATTTGTTTTTAATTTGGTTTAACTTGAATGATTTAGAGGAAAGACGAAGAATTATGTTGCGGTTGGGTGGAGATCTCTTGATACAACCAAGCTCTGTAAATCCCAGTTCACTGGTCTGGAGTACCTGGAGAACGTTGCCGATTACGCCCCAAAGGGAGATATCCATGAGATGGACTGCACTGATATTGTGATAGGGTTCGCCAAGGGTTCTCTGGGTCGGGTTGTAGATTCCTACACTCGAGACAGGTGGGATATTTTAATTCAAACAATAAAAACAAAGCTTGTATAAATGTTTAGGTTGCAAATATTTTTGACCTGCAACCATTTTTTCCCACAATTTACGAGATTGCAGATTTTTTAAATCAAAATTTGTAGTGGAACATTATTTATTTTAGACCAGCCGTAAACCATTCCTGGGTCAAATTATGTCCTCAAAATAGTTTTTTACCTAAAATATATATTTGTCAGATCAACCCCGCTCCGGGATGAGGAGTATGGCGGGACGGAAGATTTAACTGCAGCGCTTGCATACGAGGACGAGTTGACTGGAGAAACCGTTCTTATCTTCAGGTTTACTTCTTATTTCAGAATAAAGTATACATATTCCTAAAAAAATTCTCGAAAACAATGCAATCTCAGTTCAACCACCATACATTGCCGGTCACTCCCTTTTACTCTATCATTATTTTCAGAAAACCTCTTAAAGCCTCCCATCCTACGGATAACAGTATAGAAGACGCTGTAATGCATATCATTTGGTCTCATGGACAATCAAAAGGTGTAAGAAATATAAACTTGTCTGATTCTTATATTATCTCTAAAAGCTATAAATTGGGAACTATAGTCAAAATAAGCTGGAATAATGTAAATCAATTTAAAGTTCATTGTCATCTTTGATCTTAGAAATAGTTTGCGACATTCTACATTGGAACCTGCTTTTAGCAATATATTTTTATGACACAATAATCCCCGAAAAGCCCTAGTGCTGCCATTTCCAAAATGTGGTCTGCTATTTTAGGGCTTTTATAATTACCGGAGATATTAAAGATTTCGTTTAGATTGAGACATTTTCTTGGTTTATTAAATAATTGAAATTTAAACAATTCTAATAACTCTGGTATTCATGCGACAAAATGGCAGACTACATTTTGGAAATCTGTGAAAATTGTTTCCTTAAAAAAATATTGCTAAAAGTAGGTTACCAATATTGAATGCCGCAAACTATTTCTAAGGTCAAAGACGACTTTAAAGTATCAATCGATAAACTTTATTTATTCCGGCATATTTAGAAAGAAAAGCAAGATATCACATTAAAGCATTCTTATGTGTATATAATGTTGTTATAAAGCAAATAGTTTTACCAGTAGTTTGAAAACAAACTTATAGAGTGACATGGGTCTGTGTACACTGAACATTGTACAAATACTACAGCGAGAACCAGAAAACAATGGAATAGGAAGACGACAATAACGCAAGGTTAATTGTAGTTGATGTTGTTGCAAAGTAAATAGTTTTGCTTGACACTTATTAAAGCACTAATTTAGTGAAAGGGGTCTATTTACACTGCATATTTACTGTTTCTCATGCTCATTGGACTTTCTAAGTAACCTTGATTCTAAAAGTTGTCTTATTATTTCAGAGTTTTCTGGTTATCACTGTATGTTTCATTTTCATTGGACTTTTTAGATAATATAACTTTATCTAACAATCATCTTCCTTTTCCACAGTTTTATTTAAGTATATATATACTGTACAGTGCAAACACATATTTAAACTTATTTTGTAAAATGTTCAGGTTCCTTCTCTCATTCTCCTCTCTCCGGATTAGAGAATGGTTCTCCTGCAATACCAGATTTCTATAAAGAGGACGAACTCAAGTATCATGGTCGGAGCAACAGAGGGCTGGTCAAACTTAACCTTCTCCAGGTACGGATACACTACGGAGATAAAAGAAATCATAGACCTTCTCTAGGTACAGGATACACTGGAGATAAAAGAAATCATAGACCTATAGGTACGGATACACTACGGAGATAAAAGAAATCATAGACCTTCTCTAGGTACAGGATACACTGGAGATAAAAGAAATTATAGACCTTTTCCAGGTACAGGATACACTGGAGATAAAAGAAATTATAGACCTTCTCCAGGTACAGGATACACTGGAGATAAAAGAAATTATAGACCTTCTCCAGGTACATAGAAGAAATGTTTTTAAATCTTTTCCATGCTAGAGAAAACTACAGAACTAAATATTAGTACATTTTGGAATATTAGGCTTAATAATGACGGTTAAAACGGCATTTTAGAGGAAAATGTTTCATCGACAAACCCCCTTTTACAGGCATTGTACCTGCTACCTGCTAGAAACACTTTTTAGAACGATAAATCAACATCATGAATATTTGTAGGTGAAGATATTTATTAGAGATCAATATCTATAATATTTCTAGGTTAAGATATAAATTAGAGATCAATATTTATAATATTTCTAGGTTAAGATATAAAGTGGAGATAAAGATTTACAGTATTTCTAGGTTAAGATATAAAGTGGAGATTAAGATTTATAGTATTTTTAGGTTAAGATATAAAGTGGATATTAAGATTTATAGTATTTTTAGGTTAAAATATAAAGTGCAGATTAAGATTTATAGTATTTCTAAGTTAAGATATAAAGTGGAGATTAAGATTTACAGTATTTCTAGGTTAAGATATAAAGTGAAGATTAAGATTTATAGTATTTTAAGGTTTAGAATTAAATTGGGGATTTCGGTTTATAATGGTTCTAGGTTAAGATATAAATTTTAGATTAAGATATGAATTGGAGATTAAGAAACAAATTTTAGATTAAGATATGAATTGGAGATTAAGATATGAATTGGAGATTAAGATATGAATTGGAGATTAAGATATGAATTGGAGATTAAGATATGAATTGGAGATCAAGATATGAATTAGAGAATAATATATGACTTTGAGATTAAGATATGAATTGGAGATTAAGATATGAATTGGAGATTAAGATATGACTTGGAGATTAAGATATGAATTGGAGATTAAGATACAAATTTTAGATTAAGATATGAATTGGAGATTAAGATATGAATTGGAGATTAATATTTATAATATGTCTAGGTTCAGAAGAGCGAAGACGATCTTAATTCTTGTTCCTTCTCCTACCCTGAGGATTGTAGATCTAATGAATCAGGGTGCGATTACTCCGCCTCCTGGTGGAAGGACGAGTCCCACCTGTATGTATCCGTGTCCACCAGGATAGCAGAGAACTGGTTCGGAGCTGGTATTTCTCCAGATAGAAGCATGGTACGGAGCAAAAATCAACACCAAAAATTAATTTCATATAAAAATATTTTAAAATTAATAATTTGCTTTAGGCTAACTCCTTTGTTGTAATTGGAGGGATGGTGAACAGCGAGAAAATAGTTCTTGGGTAAGAGTTCTATTTCAAAAACGTAAATGCAGCAATGCAAAGCAAAGTGACCCTCCATGCAAAGATGGCAATGGCCGATTGACGAATGAATTAGATATTAATGTTTATAATTTTTAAACCTTAGTATTTCATTTGGGAGTTCTCTACAAAAGTGACTAGCAAATTTCTACAATTAAACACTGGCGCATTTCCACAATTAAACACTTTATACCTAGAAAACGATAATATCTTCCACATGATTGATAAGATAAATGTTTCAAGGGTACCGTTGTGAATTGTCATTACCAACTTTGCATGGAGGGTCACTTACAATTACAGTCCCTTTAATCATATTTTCTCATAGTGAGGGAAGACTAACTGGATACAAAGCTCCTGAACTCACGGAGAGATTGGATACTGAAACCTCCTGGGTGAGAAGTGAGGACGGAGTTCAAGCAGCTAAATTTTCTATCCCTCTTTCAGATTATATAAATGATGTAAGTCATTTTTGGGAAACTTAAGGACAAAGGACGATAAACAAAGGACAAGGATGATAAACAAAGAACAAAGACGATAAACAAAGGACGAGGACGATAAACGAAAGACAAGGACGATAAACAAAGAACAAAGACGATAAACAAATAACAAGGAAGATAAACAAAGAACAAAGACGATAAACAAAGAAAAAGGACGATAAACAAAGAACAAGGAAGATAAACAAAGAACAAAGACGATAAACAAAGAACAAAGACGATAAACAAAGAACAAGGACGATAAACAAAGAGCAAAGACTATAAACAAAGAACAAATACGGTAAACAAAGAACAAAGACGATAAACAAAGAACAAGGAAGATAAACAAAGAACAAAGACGATAAACAATGAACAAGGAAGATAAATAAAGAACAAAGACGATAAACAAAGGACGAGGACGATAAACAAAGGACAAGGACTATAAACAAAAAACAAGGAATAAGATAAGAAAAAAAATTATAAAAGACAAAGAGCAAGATGATGGGAAAGAGCAAAAATAATGATATCTATAAGGATACAATCAAGGATAAGGACAAGAAAAAGGAAAAAGGACAAGGACAATGAAAAAAAGGACAAGGACAATAAAAATAGGACAAGGACAAGGAAAAGGACTTTTATCTAAACATTCCAGATTGTGGATCTAAAATCTGAGGATGGATTCCACTTCTTGTTTCCTGTATCTGGTGGAAGTATAAAGGACGGAGATAAACTTGAGATAAGATACCATTCAGATACTCCCACAGTATCGGAGAAGATCAACTTAAACAAATGTTTTGAGTCGGACGGAAAGAAATTATTTACTGAACTTATTCCAACTCAAGGAAAACTTGGAGCAGGATCAAAGCCAGAATCCGAACCTGAATCCGAACCTGAACCAGAATCCGAAACAGAGGTTGAACCTGAATCCGAACCAGGGACTGAAAAGGATTCTGAAAAGTTGCCTAATGACAAATCTGAATCGGAACCTGAATCGGAACCTGAATCTGAGCCGGAGCCTGAAAAGAATTCTGAAAAGTTGGCTGATGAAAAATCGGAATCTGAACCTGAACCAGAATCGGAACCAGAGCGCGAAAAGGACTCAGAAAAGTTGACTGATGACAAATCTGAAGCTGAAGCTGAACCAGAATCGGAACCTGAATCAGAACCAGAGCCTGAGAAAGAGCCTGACGACCAATCTGAATCTGAACCTGAACCAGAATCTGAACCAGAATCTGAACCTGAACCAGAAACAGATTCCGAAAAGTTGACTGAAATCAAAGAAGAATCTGACTCTGAACCTGAACCAGAAACTGAACCAGAACCAGAATCGGAACCTGAACCTGAAACTGATTCAGAAAAGTTGACAGACTCCGATACATTCCTTGAATCAGTTCCAGAACCTGAATCGGAACCTGAAAGTGATCTCGGGAGCAACCCGGAAAAGTTAACAGACGCAAAAGATGAATCTGAAAATGATCCTGAATCTGAACCCGAGACTGAACCCGAGCCTGAGTCTCAACCCGAACCAGAAGCTGATAACGAACCTGAACCAGGATGGGGGAAGGTTGGGACTCATTTCTCCTGCTATAGATCCAGGTCTGGTATTGTAGAGAACAATGAGCTAAACGTAGAAGATATATTTGACTCCTGTGAGGAGAACGGATTAATGAGAATGATCAAGAATGTTGTCGCTGTTGAGAAATCAGGAAAGTATCGTCTAAGTTTCACTTCACTCATCAAGTCAGGAAAGAACGATCCGTTCACACTGAGGATAAGGAGAAAAGACGAGATTATTGGAGAGACAAGGATGCACTTAGGAGCAGTTGCAAATCCTCCAGAGGTCGGAGTGTCAACTACTATTCTTATGATGAAGGATTTGATGCTAGGAGATCTTCTTAAAATAGAAACAGGTAACAAAACAAATCTCTAAAATTCTATATTAATAAAAGAATAAATAGATAGAAATGGACAAAAAAACTTATTGAGTCCTGAGCGGCGCGGTGTGTAGATAACAAAGACTTTTTCTCTTGTTCTATCTTTAAAATTTATGATTTTCTTTAATTCAGATTCTCAACTTGGTAAAAGTTATCTCCGGAGTTCAGACTGGAACCTGCTCCGACTAGAGGGAGATATAATCAGGGACGGTGTTGAGTGTATCTTTACTCAGGATAGGATATTCTGCGGGGAATCAGACCTGGTCAGTGTAGAGCAGGAGAAAACTATTGTTGTTAAATCCACCAATTATTATCAAATATCATTATCTGGATTTTTGACCAAGGTAAGAATAAAGAAAAGCGATAAAAAATTTAAAACATTTTGATTAAAAAAGTTTTAGGAAATATAATAAAACTTATTACAACAAAACGAAAATTGAAACAGAATCTATATGATGTAATATTCAGGATGGTTTTGGTATGGAAGATTTAATGCTGAAGGATGAGATTAGCTCCGAATCCATCCTGTCCATCAGGACGGGTCTCGTCAAGGATCAGAGCTCCGAGCTTGAACTTACAAATCTTACTCTTCCCTTCAGCAATAGTGTAAGTGGAGATTGTTATCAAACCTACCAATGACGTCTTACAAACAAATGTCTGTACTACTGTATACAGTTCGTAGCCCTTAGGATCCGAATACGGAATCTTTTGGCTCTCTCGATCCTTGTGTGCGGTAATATGTAAATCAAAATATGCAAAGTTTTGATCAATTCAATTTAAATTTCGAAAAATACAGAAAACAAAGAAAAAATTCGGATGGCTGTTACTGAAAATTAGATTTTATTCTCAATATAATTTGACATAATTTCATTTTATTATCCAATAGTTAATAGGAAATTTCGCGAACACTCCCTTTAACTTAGTTATTTTCAGGTGATAAGAAAACTAAGCTCTGGATCAAGGTTATCTCTTAGATCAGGTTAAAGAAATCTTTTATTTAAAAAAACTGAAAATAATTTTTGTTTTGTTTTTGTTGCTTAAAATAATCTTGTGTTATGTATATACAAACGTCGTCGTTTATATCAATACAATTAAGACGACTTTCCATTTCAATTTTGATTTCTACCAAGCGCTTTTAAACAGTATTGATACAAATAAATATGGAAACAAAGAGAGGCTGTCAATTTAAAGCTTCTCTTTTTTTTCTTGTAAACTTGTAATTTGAATAAAGCTTGTTAGAAATCAAAACTTAAATAGAAAAGGCGTTTTGATTGTATTAATATAAACGACAACCACTGTACTTAAAATAAAAGTTTTTAGTTTCTCTAATGATAAAACCCTCAGGTTCTGGGGTTGAGGTTGAGGGACGAATTCTTCTTATTCCTAGCTCCGGGTCCGATATATCCTGCTCCGAGACCGAACCCATCAAAACTAAACTTGTCACACTCTCTAACTGCTCGGTAATAATATATCAAAAATAATGGTAAATAGCTAAAAATAATTAAAAAGTTAGAACGATTGAATTGAGTTTTTGCCACAAACTTTGATTTTATTATCACTATTTCTTTGCAACTCAATTTTGTAGACCTTGGATATTTCAAACTATGAATTCTTTGGTTCATTTTTGTTTGAAAACTTTTTTAGTTTTTTTAGATATTTACAAACACTTACAAATATATAACACTATGGTTTTTTCATATTTCAACATATGAACTATAGCCTAAAAACTAAAGAAAAAAAACAATTAAGGTTAAAAAATTAGATTTTATCAAAATTTAAATATTTTGAAAAATTTACAAAAATGTGATGCACACTTTTTAACCTTCAACTTTATCTAAACATTATGATTCATATAAATCACAAAATATTCATGATCATAAATCCATAAAAATTAATCTTAGAATATCCAAAAAACAAATATTAATTTTAGAATATTCAATAAATATTAATTTTAGAATATTCAATAAATATTAATTTTAGAATATCCAAAAATGTTAATCTTAAAATATATCCATATATTTCTTAGAAAATCCATAAATATCAAACTTAGAATGTTCATGATTAATAATCTTAGAAAATCTATAAAAATAAATCTTAAGTTGTTCATAAAAACAAATCCTAGAATGTCCATATAATTGTCTTAAAACAAATCCTAGAATGTCCATATAATTGTCTTAAAACAAATCCTAGAATGTCCATATAATTGTCTTAAAATAAATCCTAGAATGTCCATATAAATGTCTTAAAATAAATCCTAGAATGTCCATATAATTGTCTTAAAATGTCCATATAATTGTCTTAAAATGTCCATATAATTGTCTTAAAATGTCCATATAATTGTCTTAAAATGTCCATATAAATGTCTTAAAATGCTTTTTAAATCATCATGTTTTATGTTAAAATAACGCAGGAGTTATTTTTAGTTGAACACTGAGCAAAGATATAACACGAGGAACGGAGTTTTCACAGCTCCGGCAGATGGAACCTATATGGTTGGGTTCTCAGGTATCTATTACTATCCTTTATACAAAGGAATTGAACCTTTGTCACAAACTCTGATATTCCAATCCCTATATCTTTGCAACCCAATGTCTTAGACCTGATATATTTCAAACTAAGTATACTATTAGATCAAATAATCTAAGTTTGAAATATCAAAGGTTTACTCCATCAGGTTCCAAAGATATAGGGATTTAAGAGTTTTAGTTTGTGACAAAAACTCAATTCCTTTATACAGTTTAGAACATTGGATGGTTTTGATCTTATAAAATCAGTTTTTCAAACCATGCATGCATCAAAATATATCCACCAAGTGATAATATTCTAGAAATCAGAAGGAAATAAAAACTGATTAAAAGAACTGTTAGCGCACTTTTAAGTGACTCGATTTCTTCATGAAATTATAATAGCAATGCCCGATTTACAATGACACCCTTGAAACCTTAAACTGATCAAAATTGTAAAAGATAGAGTCGTGTGTCCAACTAGAAAAGTGTGTTTCTCTGAATTTCTCTATTGTTTCTTAAAAGCAAGAAATGCGCAAGTCATTTTTGCAGAGAAACCACAAATAAAAATAACCCGTTAAAAAAAACAAAAAAACTTGCCTATCTACTTGATCAGACAAAGTTTTTTAGGATACCGTTTTAAATCAGGAATTGTCATTTTTTGCATGGAGGTTCACTTGAAATTACGCATACAGTCCCTTTAAGTTGTTGTCTCTAGGATCCTACCAGGTATCTGGAGAGAGTGTACTTCACACCAATATCCTGAGTAAGAACGGAACGAATCTCCGAACCATGGTTGCTGGGTTCACCAAGATAGGATCTTCCAAGGACTCCGACCTCCAGTTTCTCACCAATAATATTATCGTAGCTAACGTGAGGTGAGACAGATTTTGTTTTTCTAGAAACTTCTAAAAGAAAGTCCTACTTGTTCTACATCGTTCTTTGCAACATGGGCATTTGTCAATTTATACAATCCGGTTTGTCCTACAATGGTATTTAAACATGAAGCAGGAGGAGATAAATCATTAACCCTGCTGTTTGTGTAGGTTGGAGAAGAAGAAGGAGATAAATCATTAACCCTGCTGTTTGTGTAGGTTGGAGGAGAAGAAGGAGATAAATCATTAACCCTGCTGTTTGTGTAGGTTGGAGAAGAAGAAGGAGATAAATCATTAACCCTGCTGTTTGTGTAGGTTGGAGAAGAAGAAGGAGATAAATCATTAACCCTGCTGTTTGTGTAGGTTGGAGAAGAAGAAGGAGATAAATCATTAACCCTGCTGTTTGTGTAGGTTGGAGAAGAAGAAGGAGATAAATCATTAACCCTGCTGTTTGTGTAGGTTGGAGGAGAAGGAGGAGATAAATCATTAACCCTGCTGCTTGTGTAGGTTGGAGGAGAAGGAGGAGATACATCATTAACCCAGCTGTTTGTGTAGGTTGGAGAAGCAGGAGGAGATAAATCATTAACCCTGCTGTTTGTATAGGTTGGAGAAGGAGGAGGAGATCTGTCTGGGAATGGGAACAGGGAAAGGAAGATCTCTGAATGTAAGAAATGAGATCTCCGCGAGCTCTGATCATCCAGCAATCCTTAGTATCCACAGAATTAACTAGAATTGAATTAAATTATGAAATATATTTACTCTGACACATACAATAATGAAACATGTAAGATATGACAGAACGGCACACGTATGATTTCATCCTTATCGTTTTTTTGTGGTTTTACAAATTATACATGAACAGCTCAGCAGGTTTAAAACTGATCAGTATAGGTCAGGGTTCCTAAACAGAGAAGTATGGTTGGGTTCAAGCTTTGTTTTCTCTTGTTACTTGGTTTAGTGCAGGCTAGATATCAGTACGATGATCAATTTATATTATTCCAAGAGGAAAATCCTGAAACCGATATTACTACTATTCCTACAATAACCCCCTCTCCTCCTCCTTCTACTACTACTACTACTACTACTACTACCACAACTGCAACAACTCCTACAACTTCAACTACTACAAATGCGACGACAACTACTTCTACTACAACTATAACAACTATCTTCACTGCAACAACTCCTACAACTACAACTACTACAAATATGCCAACAACTACCATTTCAACTACATCTACAACTACTATTCCAACAACAACTCCTTTTGAAAGCAACGGATGTAAATGTCGATGGGTACCTATGACCACTACCACCACTACGACATCAACAACAACCACAACCACCACAACAACAACAACAACAACAACAACAACAACCACCACAACAACGACGTCCGAAGCAACAGATGTAACACAAGAAATAGAAACAACAACAACAATACCTAAAAATGAAATCAAAGTTGAATCAGATGAATTTCCTGAGTTTGGTATGAATATTATTAAAGAAGAAGTATTTTTTTATGAATGGGTGTGTGAGTGTGAATGGCCCTGGGCTGAGTTTGGTTACGGATGTGCTGCTGCTGCTGGAGCTTGTATCCTACTCGCAGCACTAATCAAAGTTGTCTGTTACAGGAAGAAGTCTGCCAGTAAAGATTTCTCCTATGCAATGGATAATTTTGTTGTAGAGTAATAATTGTTAAAATGATTTTTAATCTATTGTATTATCTTTTATCATAATATTATATAAGAAAAAAATCGCCCTTTTGTTTATTCAAGGCACTATCTAGCTCTGTCACCTTACAATCAGTATGGCATAGATGAGAACCGTAGACGGTAAATGGAATATGCATATAGGGTGTAGAACTTTCATGATATGTAATTCTGAATTCTGAGCATATCTAAAGGAATTGAGTTTTTGCCACAAACTCACATCTTCGAATCGAATATCTATTGGGTTGCAAGGATATATGGTTAGAAAACAGAGATTGTGGGAAAAAGTCAATTCCTTTATCAAAATTCACAATAATATCCAAATTTTCAAAATAAAGAACAGAGAATTATAACAGCTCGTAAATGTGTCAATTGGTCAAAATATGCAATTTACAAAGTTTTGCCAAATATACGTTTTTCTCAAACAAAGTGCAGATCATGATCAAATTTTAACAATAACAATCATGACGCCCCCCCCCCCTCCACAAAAAAATAAAGAAATCTGATTCTGACCATAAAATAAAAGATGTTAAAAGTTCCGAAAGAGAAAAAATGTGAGGTTCATGCAAAAGACACAGAATAGTCAGCTCTATGCAGAGAAGTTGATTTTGTGACGTCCTTTGTGGTTCGGAGTAAGCCATCATTCACTGGATTGAAATGTTTATGCATTTTCAACAATTCTAGCTTTTTCTGTTTATAAATTCCGGGATAAGAGCTGATTAAACTGAACAGAATTTTAACAACTTTATGACCTGAGTAATAATTTGCAAATATCCTTATCATGTTAGTTCTCTAGGTTTTAAACTTTTAGAATAAAAATAGTGTTACTAGCAAAGCAGAATGTTGAGGTTGCAGATTTTTATTCTAACAACTACAACTACAACTACAACAATTGTTGAAGAACCTAAACCTGAGTTTTTTCTAAAAGATGCTGTATCATATAAAGAAGAAGGTGGTGTATCATATACAGAAGAAGATGTTGAATCATATACAGACAATGATGAAGAGTATGAGTTAGTGTGTGACTGTACTTGGTTCAGGGCTCAGTTTGGATACGGTATCTTGGCAGGTCTTGGAGTTGCTCTTCTAGCCGCAGCCTTAATTTACATCTTTCCATTTATGAAGATGTTTCTAAAAAGAAAACCGGCATAGAGCACAATTGACAGAAGCATAGATTCTTTTTGTTCTACTTCTCTATAATTATATTATTCTAAGTAATCTAAAATCTATAATCTACACTGTTCTAAGAAACCTTTTGTTTGTAACATTGAACCTACTGGCGTTTATATCAATAAAATACAGACGAATTTTCTGTTTAAATTTTGATTTTCAGCGAGGTCTTTCAAATCACAAGTTTATAAGTAAACAAAGCGAAGCTGTAAACTGACAGCTTTTTTGTTTGTTTTAATGTTTACTGTTTGAAAGCTTGGTAAAGATCAAAAATTGAAATCGAATGTCGTCATCAATATATTGATAAATATTACGACGACTGTAGTTTAAAAGTCTCGGTTTTATGAGGATATATTTATAGTGTAGAAACACCAAACCAAACTTAATGATTATTTTTCTTAGTGAAAAAAGCCTAGCGTCGGTAACCAGAATTAAGGACGAGATTTTAGTTTTTCATACGTCATGATTAAAGCTTTCTTTGTACGAATGTTTACAAAGAAACTATTTCTCGGATTGTTTAAATGCTGTTCCCCCCAAAAAAACTACGGTCATTATATCGTTTTATATATATTTACAACAAGAACGTACATAGTAAACTGCATTAAAATAATTTTTTTCCCCATAAAAATTACTTTTTCAACATTCACTCTTTGTGTTATTCTTTGCAATTATCTTTTTAAACTTGCAAATTATAATTGAAATAATTTGTTAAAAACACGTCTCCATTTTGTGATAAAATAAAAGAGGGTTTTCTTCTAAAACTAATTTTTGGTTGATGAACTAAAAAAATCATTAAACGAATTGTTATGTTCTGACTAAGTTTTATAATGTTATCATTTTACAACTGCACTAATAAAGCAAAACAGTTTCAAATAAAATTTTTAAAATAAATTATGTATTATGAAACAAAGTTAATACATGCGTTTTTAAAATACTTGTACAATAAAACATTCTAAAGAAGTTTTTTATATGTACAAGGGAAAAAATATAATTTTATTACAATAAAATAATGTTTCAACGATAGAAACAAATACTTAAACCTCTTATTTGTAGTTTCTTTTCTTTCATTATTCCATATTTAAACATTAATAAAATATTTTTATTTCAATTTCATGCTTGACGAATTCTTGGACAAAATTTCAACCCCTGCTGGGAGCTAAATAAACCCCCAAGCTCCATTTAGGTTTGATTAAGTTCTCCGTAGGCCTCCCCAAGCTCCAGTTAGATTTGATTAAGTTCTCCGTAGGCCTCCCCAAGCTCCAGATAGATTTGATTAAATTCTCCGTAAAGGCTCTCCAAACTGCAGTTAGGTTTTATTTAGTTCTCCGTAGGTCTCCCCATTACTGCAGTTAGGTTTGATTTAGTTCTCCGTAAGGTCTCCCCAAACTGCAGTTAGGTTTGATTTAGTTCTCCGTAGGTCTCCCCAAACTGCAGTTAGGTTTGATTGAGTTCTCCGTAGATCACCCCCAGCTGCAGTTAGGTTTGATTATGCTCTCCGTAGGTCTCACCCAGCTGCAGTTAGGTTTTATCAAGTTATCCATATGTCTTTCAAAGCTGGTTAGGTTTTCGTACAGTGAAACCCTTAATAACGAATACATCGGAAGAATTTATTAAATGTCGTCTTGACAATTTTTCAATGAGTTTTGTACTATATTACGTAAATTTCAGTATTTGCGAAAATAAATAAATAGCCATGAATATGCGGGAACAGTTTTAAAATGCTCCATATAATAATTTAATTAAAAAACTAAATATCTGCAACATTCCAATTGTCAGAAAGTGAAGAATACGACATTTGATGAATTCTTTCGATGTATTCGTTATTAAGGGTTTCACTGTAGGTTTTCCGTCGAGCTGGTTAGATTTGATTAAGTTCTCCGTTTGTTTCTCAAAGTTGGTAAGTTTTATTAAGTTCTCTGTATGTCTATAAAAGCTGGTAAGGTTTAATTAATTGCTCCGCAGGTACTACTCAAAACTGGTTAGGTTCTGTAAGTTCTCCGTATGTCTCTAAAAGCTGGATTATCAGTTTCTTCTGTTGTATCTCAAAGTTGGTTGGGTCTGTCTCCCAAAGGTTAGGTTTTCGTAAGACTTCCGTAAGTCTCCCAAAGCTGCGCATACCATTCTGGACAGTCACAGAGAGCATACTTGTAGTAACAGGTTAATTCCTCGTCTTTACACACCTGAACAAAATAATCCTTAATCTCATCAGTATTTACCCCCTAGCCGGCCCTTAATCTGATCTGTTTTTAGCCCCTAGCCAGCCCTTAATCTGATCTGCACATTATTTAGCCCCTAGCCGGTCCGTAATCTGTTCTTCTTCAGCCCCTAGCCGGCCCATAATCTGATCTGTATTTAGCCCCTAAAGCAACCCATCCCATTATATGTCCTAGAACAGTATTAATCCCCTAGCCATCCCTTTATCTGTCCTAGAACTGCTTCTAGCTTCAGTCCTGAATCTGTCCTAGAACTGCTTCTAGCTGCAGTCCTGAATCTGTCCTAGAACTGCTTCTAGCTGCAGTCCTGAATCTGTCNTCCACCTTCTTTCATAATTTACACCCCTTGTAATCTACACTCCACCTTCTTTCATAATTTACACCCCTTGTAATCTACACTCCACCTTCTTTCATAATTTACACCCCTTGTAATCTACACTCCACCTTCTTTCATAATTTACACCCCTTGTAATCTACACTCCACCTTCTTTCATAATTTACACCCCTTGTAATCTACACTCCACCTTCTTTCATAATTTACACCCCTTGTAATCTACACTCCACCTTCTTTCATAATTTACACCCCTTGTAATCTACACTCCACCTTCTTTCATAATTTACACCCCTTGTAATCTACACTCCACCTTCTTTCATAATTTACACTCCTTGTAATCTACACTCCACCTTCTTTCATAATTTACACTCCTTGTAATTTACACTCCACCTTCTTTGATAATTTACACCCCTTGTAATTTACATTCCACCTTCACTTATGATTTGTAGTAACACAAGGAACTGTTCCGTAGAGAGGATGCTGATAGATTCCAAACTCACAGTTTGGTTGGAAGGAATGGTTTACTTTGTGCGCCAGTGTAGCACAGTACCTGGAGTAATATTATTGTTTTAATCCCTGACAGAAACCCTTACTTGTTTATATCGATGAGAGAAACCCTACATGTTTATATTCATGAGAGGAAACCTACTTCTTTATGTCCCTGAAACTCAATCTACTTTTTATATCCCTGAGAGAAACCTACTTTTTTTATATTCCTGAGGGAACCCTTCTTGATATATCCCTACATGTTTAAATATCCCTGAAAAGAACCCTACTTGTTTACATCCCTGAGAGGAACCCTACTTGTTCATACCCCTGAAAGGAATCATACTTTTTTATATCTCTAAGAGGAATCCTATCTAATTATATCCTTGAGTCAAATACAGGTTTATATCCCTGAGAGAAACCTACTTGTTTATATCCCTGAACGGAATAGGTATATCCATCCTCTCCGAAGAATCCTCTTCTCCCTCGGGGTTCAGGAATATCCTGTAGGAACAATCCTCCCAAGTTTCATCCTCATCCGTCTTCTAAACAAATCATAGTTAGATCCTTTAATTTAGTTTAAATTTTTAATCAGTTAGATTCAGTTTGATCTGGTTATCTCTTGTTTAATCTGGTTTGATCCAGTTGGATCTTGTTATATCTAGTTAGATTTTGTTAGACCTGGTTTTATCCAGTCTTAATTTTTAATCAGTTAGATTCAGTTTGATAGAGTTAGATATTGTTTAATGTAGTTTGATCCAGTTGGATCTTGTTATAAGTATAACTAGTTAGATTTTGTTAGATCTGGTTTTATCCAGTTTTAATCAGTATAATTATATTTCAAACATTTTAATTCGGTTTGATTCAATTTAATTAGGTTTTTGTTCAGTTCTATTATGTTTGATATATTTTAATTTTTAACTTACGGGGAGAGGGTGGGGGGTTACCCTGAATCAAAAACCAACTTCATTAAGAATCAAGGTTATTATGTAATATGGATGCAACTTATGTTTTAAGGAGGGGGGTATCTGAACCAACCTCTTTAGGTATCCTAACTCCGTTATAGAATGCAACCACAGTTTTAGGGTTGAGGTCTCTCCTAGCATACAATCCATCTCCAGCTCCAGCTAAACTAGGACGGATCTCAACTGTGTTCAACTCATACGGTTCAGCCTTAACAACAAAATAGGAATAATAATAAAAATAATAATAATAATACTGAAAATAAAGGTAATTTAAAGATCATAATAATAAANCATCCTCGGCCTTAGTTTCAGAATCTACACCCATTACTAAACCTGAGGTGGGAGGGTTCAGGCGTATTATCTTTTGAAATGTGAGATCTAGGCTGGTACTACCGCATTCCTCTCGTGCTTTTAAAGAATTTAATATTTGTTCTTGACTCAGAATTCTTGAGTTGTTTGTCTGTATTCCCAAATTGATGCTTCTTTGATAAAGATTAAATAAAGTTTTAGAAATTTCTCTTACATTTAATGTTTTCAGAACGCGGTTAAGGAGAAAAACGACTGTCAAAAAGTTTACCCATACAATCATGAATTTTGTTTTGAAATATTGTTGTATACCAAAATTCTACCCTAAAAAGTTCCAACAAATTTTATTTTTTTTATTTTTAGTATGAAAACTATCTGTAAAATTTACCCTCATAAAAAAACTGTTTTTTATTTTGCCTTGAAAAGATTCTGATTACTCGCTTCATACTCATATCACCTAATCATCATATCTTTTCAGTTTGATGTTGCAGTTCTTTGCTATATCAAACTAAAGATGTGTAACTAGCAAATAGATTTTGAGGCAAAAAAACCTGATCCAGTCTAATTAATTAAACTAGAATAGGGTTAAAGTATTGTAAGAAATTAAAATTTAAATTTGAAATAATCACTGGTTGGTTTTCAAGCTACGTGTAAACCAATCCTGTTTATAACAACAACAAATACACATAAGATTGATTTAAACCTATTTAGCCTGACGTCTGGTTCACTGACTAGCTGCCTGCTGCCTGCCCCCCCCTCTTACAATCCTGTCCAGAGAATTACCACTCGGTACTTATAAAGATTTCATTAGGTCTTTAGGAAAATCGCTAAGTAGCGAAACAATAATAATAATAATGACATGATAGCGATAATTTAACAATAATAATGATGTTAATTACATTAAATGATCTATATTTTGTACCTGGAGAAGGTTTTTACAAATCATCTCAGTGGTTGAAGGAGAAAACTCTAGCTCCGGACCCCAGCTAGGGTTTACAGTTATCTCAGCCAACCCCTAACCAACACAAATATTTCATATAAAATAATAAAAATAGATTTTTGATTAATCCTTTTTACCTTTCTGATGGAGACGGTTTTCAATGAAGTTTGGTGTCCGGAGATAAACTGTCCGTCCTTGAACCTACCCTGGAGACAGGTTTTAAAGTCTGGGTAGATATAAACTAGGTTATCTCCAGTTAACCGGCCTAACTCATCAACCTCTCCTGTTATACATCCTCCGCCCAACCTAGACATAACAATATGCATTGGAGGTATAAAAAGCAAGGACAAAGAAACTCTAATTTACTCATCATCTTTTCATCATCTTTTCATTGCAAGCCTTGAATATGGAAATAATTGTTTTAAAGATCAAGTCATTACATTCACAAGATAAGTAAAAAATACTAACTCAATCTATAAAAATCACAGTTTAAACCTTCTCCTACCTCCTGTAGACCTGAAGCAGGATCCTTTCTCTCTACCTCCATTATACATGGAGCTCCAGCAGGGTCCTGTCTCTTTACCTCCTTTATACCTGAAGCTCCAGCAGGATCCCTCCATTATACCTGAAGTTCCAGCAGTGTCCTGTCTCTCTACCTCCTTTATACCTGAAGCTCCAGCAGGGTCCGGTCTCTTTACCTCCTTTATACCTGAAGCTCCAGCAGGGTCCTGTCTCTCTTCCTTCTTTATACCTGAAGCTTCAGCAGGGTCCTGTCTCTCTACCTCCTTTATACCTGAAGCTCCAGCAGGGTCCTGTCTCTCTACCTCCTGTATACCTGAAGCTCCAGCAGGGTCAGGTCACTCTACCTCCTTTTTACCTGAAGCTCCAGCAGGGTCCGGTCTCTCTACTTCCTCTATACCTGAAGCTCCAGCAGGGTCCGGTCTCTTTACCTCCTTTATACCTGAAGCTTCAGCAGGGTCCTGTCTCTCTACTTCCTCTATACCTGAAGCTCCAGCAGGGTCCGGTCTCTCTACCTCCTTTATACCTGAAGCTCCAGCAGGGTCCTGTCTCTCTACCTCCTTTATACCTGAAGCTCCAGCAGGGTCCGGTCTCTCTACCTCCTTTATACCGTCCAACCCAGGAAACCTCCTTATAATCATTCATTATTCTCGCTAAACCGTTGAAACATCCATCTCTAAAATCAATAATTTTTTCATTTATTCATTATCTCTCTCCAGTTTACATGAAAGGGAAAGATGGGCATCCTCGATGGGAACCTTGTATACCTTTGTTTGTACAGAAATGTTGCATATTCTTGTTTTTCTATCCAAAAAATGATACTTTTCTACAATTGTGTTTTCTAAGGAACAGCGAATACAGAATTCAAAGCTTTTAAGATAGACAAACACGATATCTTTTGCTTAAAGGTTTAAAGGGTCGGATATGCCACTCTCCTTAATTGGGGGGGGGGGGGTCGCTTACGTCGAAAGTCTCTTAGAGAAAGATAAAATGTACCTAAACTCCGCTTCAATGATGTCTCCATTCTCCAGGAAAACCTTCCCAACTCCGCAGAGCTTATTGTTCTTATAGTTTCCAATAAGTTGGGTGATTCCCTTACCAGGGCAGACAGTGCTGCACTTGCCGTATCTAACACCATCCTTCCAGATGCCTCCGATTTCTCCTCCGTCCTCGAATGCAACAACCCCTCGGCCCTGGAACATCTTGCTAGTATCCTCCGAACCGTTCCAGGTTATGTTGAATGCGTCCTTATTTCTCCAGCTGAATCCATGGTAGGGATCAATCCGAACAGCAGTTCTGGGATTAACTGCACTTGGATCCTGTCCGTGTTGATCCTGGAACGGATCTTGGGTTATATCCTTGATGTTATTTATCCAGTTCTCCAGGAGCCTGCTTGCATCCTCCCCCTCTACAGTTTCCTCCTCCACCTCCTCATCTTCGTCTACTAATATATCAGCAAGGATCTCTACCGGAATACCATGATCACACTCACTAACCGTCCTGCTACTACTGGCTCCGGAGAATGAAGATCTGACGGAGGAAGATAAACTTGCAGGGTCACAGCGTAGCCTGTCATACCAGGAGCTTAAACCGTTTCTAGATTCATCCTCGGCCTTAGTTTCAGAATCTACACCCATTACTAAACCTGAGGTGGGAGGGTTCAGGCGTATTATCTTTTGAAATGTGAGATCTAGGCTGGTACTACCGCATTCCTCTCGTGCTTTTAAAGAATTTAATATTTGTTCTTGACTCAGAATTCTTGAGTTGTTTGTCTGTATTCCCAAATTGATGCTTCTTTGATAAAGATTAAATAAAGTTTTAGAAATTTCTCTTACATTTAATGTTTTCAGAACGCGGTTAAGGAGAAAAACGACTGTCAAAAAGTTTACCCATACAATCATGAATTTTGTTTTGAAATATTGTTGTATACCAAAATTCTACCCTAAAAAGTTCCAACAAATTTTATTTTTTTTATTTTTAGTATGAAAACTATCTGTAAAATTTACCCTCATAAAAAAACTGTTTTTTATTTTGCCTTGAAAAGATTCTGATTACTCGCTTCATACTCATATCACCTAATCATCATATCTTTTCAGTTTGATGTTGCAGTTCTTTGCTATATCAAACTAAAGATGTGTAACTAGCAAATAGATTTTGAGGCAAAAAAACCTGATCCAGTCTAATTAATTAAACTAGAATAGGGTTAAAGTATTGTAAGAAATTAAAATTTAAATTTGAAATAATCACTGGTTGGTTTTCAAGCTACGTGTAAACCAATCCTGTTTATAACAACAACAAATACACATAAGATTGATTTAAACCTATTTAGCCTGACGTCTGGTTCACTGACTAGCTGCCTGCTGCCTGCCCCCCCCCCCTTATCTATTTTCTTATTGTGATACAAATCTATAACATTTGTTAAGTTTTTAGAAAGCCCTTGGGCTCTACCTCAATAATCTGCAAATAAAATGGCAAATTTGCAAAGATCCAAATATGTCTTGCGAAATCTAGTTATTAAGCAAAAAATGTGCAAAAAAGTTTTGCAAATTGCAACAAATTATACATTTTTGAAAAGTCCTTGACACCGCGAATTTAAATATGCAAAAACTGAAAATGTGCAAATTCACTTTAAAGAGCTATAAAATGCTGAAATCTCATGACTGGAAGTAGGTCTAAATATAGATAGTCTGCTATAGGTAAACTAAGGCATATAGCCAGTATACCTGAGGACTTAGGTAGTAAATATAAAAGCGCAGCTTTTAGCCTTAAGTGGGGGGGCATGTGTTAGTTAGAAAAGCCAGAAAATTTGAGCTTCCCAGCTCAAACACTTTTTGAGTTATCGCAAAAAAAACAATATGGGGGGGGGGGGCCAAACTGACCCCCCTAGGCCAGATAGGGTTTACGTTGTTTTCATATTCTTGAGTTTAATATCATTAAAAAAAGTTAAAAATACTAACTAAAAGTAATCTTTTATCCCTGCAGTTGGTTTTATCAAGTTGGTTGAAATCTATTTGAGACAATGTTCTGTTGTCAACCTTAGATGCCCAGTTGAACCAATCCCGCGGCATTCTGCTTAAATACTGCCGAGCCCTCGTCCTACGCAGACACTTTTTCTGCAACGCAAGAGCGTCTAGGCGTAGCGGGCTGACCCATTCGGAGGATTCTTTTCCATACGCAGGAGGCTGGAATCTCATAAATTGACGCAAATGAATGTCTTGCATAAGGTGATCGAGTTTTGTACACTTTAGTATTAATCAGATTAAAAATCTGAAACCCAGTATGACCTCAATGAGCGATCGGCAGAAAACGCTGAATCTAACATTTTTAAAGAAATTTTCTAAAAGAAGTGCGTCAATCAGAATTGAGATTATAAATTTACTAAAACTAGACGTGTGATGGAGATTAATGAAATTTTAATTTAAAAAAGATATCATGTGTTTACTTTCTCATTAGGAAAATTAAGTGGGTCAGCAAATCTCGCATTTTGCAGTTATAACCAAAATAAAACGGAACTAAAGTCGTCTTCGTTCAATAGTAACGTCGCTCAGGGGTTTCTAATTTGTAGCTGCTATAACTCTAAAAATTAGCCCTGAATATAATCAGAGAAATGTCAATCATAACAGTTACAAACAAAAACAATACAAAAAAATGTAAGATATAACAAAGATCTCTCAGAAAGGACGGTACAGAATTTATTTAACCTTCTTTTATAAATTAATGGCTTCCAGTAGCTGTAATCTTGTTTAAGGTCGTCATTTTAATCTCATCCTTTGTGGGTAACCCTTTAAGTAATAACATTAATTTTGAAATAATATTTTAATTCTAAATCCGGTTTTTTGAGATGATTCCTTGGACTTTAGACATTAACTTAACAATTAATTTTCCAAATATCTAAATATTTGAATATTTTAATTTTGCAAACATCTAAATATTTGAATATTTTAATTTTGCAAACATCTAAATATTTGAATATTTTAATTTTGCAAACATCTAAATATTGAATATTATAATTTTGCAAACATCTAAATATTTGAATATTATAGTTTTGCAAATAACTAAATATTTGAATATTATAATTTTGCAAACATCTAAATATTTAAATGTTTCGATTTGCTTTGAAAGGTTTTCAATGACCGTAAAGCATAGATAAATAATTCAAACGTTTTATTGTTTACATTTTTTTTATTTAATATTTATAAACTTATGACACAACCTTTATCCGATTATAGAAGTTTATGCATAGTCCCTTTATTTAGATATTCAGATTTGTTTACAGTCCCTTTATTTGATATTGAGATTTGTTTACAGTCCCTTTATTCAGATATTCAGATTTGTTTACAGTCCCTTTATTTATTTATTCAGATTTGTTTACAGTCCCTTTATTTTGATATTCAGATTTGTTTACAGTCCCTTTATTTATATATTCGGATTTGTTTACAGTCCCTTTATTTGATGTTCAGATTTGTTTACAGTCCCTTTATTTGATATTCAGATTTGTTTACAGTCCCTTTATTTGATATTCAGATTTGTTTACAGTCCCTTTATTCAGATATTCAGATTTGTTTACAGTCCCTTTATTTACATATTCAGATTTGTTTACAGTCCCTTTATTTGATATTCAGATTTGTTTACAGTCCCTTTATTCAGATATTCAGATTTGTTTACAGTCCCTTTATTTACATATTCAGATTTGTTTACAGTCCCTTTATTCGATATTCAGATTTGTTTACATTCCCTTTATTCAGATATTCAGATTTGTTCACAGTCCCTTTATTTACATATTTAGATTTGTTTACAGTCCCTTTATTCGATATTCAGATTTGTTTAGTCCCTTTATTCAGATATTCAGATTTGTTTACAGTTCCTTTATTTACATATTTAGATTTGTTTACAGTCCCTTTATTCGATATTCAGATTTGTTTACAGTCCCTTTATTCAGATATTCAGATTTGTTTACAGTCCCTTTATTCGATATTCAGATTTTTTTACAGTCCCTTTATTCAGATATTCAGATTTGTTTACAGTCCCTTTATTCGGATATTCAGATTTGTTTACAGTCCCTTTATTTACATATTCAGATTTGTTTACAGTCCCTTTATTCAGATATTCAGATTTGTTTACAGTCCCTTTATTTAGATATTCAGATTTGTTTACAGTCCCTTTAAATTGATTTAGAATGAGTTGTTGGTGTTGATTGAAAAGTATCCATATTAAGATGTTCGCTGATAAATTGAGAAGTTTGATGGATGTGTAATGTATCTTCAAGTATACACATCAGTACTAGAAACATTTATATTTTATTTACAGGGTGACCCTAAGAAAAACAACGTTTTTGTGGGTTTCTTGGTCACCTAGTTTTATAAAAAAAAAAGGCCTACAAAATGTGCATTGGTTTAAAATTTTCAATTTTAATTGAGGTTTTATGAGTAATTTCAATTCCATGATTTTCTATGCTAGTTGTCCCAGAATTCACATTCCCCCCCCGCGTCCCCATCCCATCCCCATTCATTCAAGAGATCAAAGCACAAAATCAAATGAGAATTTTTTTATTTTAAATACATATATACTTCACAATCCACTGTTCAATTGTTTAGTGTGCAGGATAAAGCAAATCTTACAATTCACCAAGGTTATAATTTAAGGAAAGTTTATTGCAGTTGCGTATACTCTGCCTACATATTGAAACCAGTTCTCTCTGGGCGGAATTTGTAAACAAGAAGAGATGCATCAGTGTTCGTTCAGTATCAGAGGAGGATAAAATAATTTAATTTTGATAATTCACAGAATAGTTTCCTATGTCCAGAATATTTCATTGATTTTTTATGTGAAAGATGGATCCCATGTCAGGCGGTGTCACAATACACTGCACTACAAAAGATGCGTACACCTCTGAAATAAATTTTCTTGCATTATAACCTTGTAAGGCACTAAGTTTGGGGCACTTATTTGAGGCATTTTTATTAAATATCAATTTAATTTTGACAATTGCCACATTTTTCACAAATTATGTGTAAAGTAAATAAAAATCAGATAAAATGAGAAACTAACGATTGATTGACGAGAGACCGCAATGAAAATAAACAGTTTAAAGAAACAAAAACATTGATATAATTCATACTTGATCAGGCAAAGGTGCCATCTTTCCAGGGTGATTGGAAATTACGCTTACAATCCCTTTAAAATTAGGTTTTTTCAAGAGCTACTGTGAGATGAAAATGAAAAGTGTTTATTTTTACATTTATTTTTTATTTATATTTTTAATTAATATAAATTGCAAACAAAATTTTTTTTTTTTTCTTAATATATCTTTATTCACACTTTACTCTCATCTACAGGTTTAGCTGTCTGCTCTTTTATAGGATTTTTTACATAAGTTATCACTGCAGCAGATATTATCAAAATAGCGATAACTGTTTCTAAGCTCAGAGGAATTCCTGAAATAAAACACGTTAATTCAGGGGATGTGGGGTTAAACGTCACGTTACGTATTTTAAAGAGTAAAATGCATGATTTACGATCAATGATAAGATAACGTTGTTTTTCTCAAACTTAAAAAATGTTTAATTCCTTCATTGTTTCTGAAGTAAAAAATGCAAAGAAGCCACCAATGAAAATTAATAGTTTTCAAAAACAAAATCATTGTAGTACAGACAAAGCTTTTATGGGTACTATTGTGAATCCTTCAAGATTAATATTCCCTTGAAGGACAACGTGATTTTGAGCTCTAAAATGTGATAACACTTAAACAACTAAAAATGGTATCATCTGTTAAAAGCATTGTTCTCGATGGTATACATATAAATAAATGATATATAATCAATATTCCATGTTGATAACCAAGAAAACAAGATTATTACCTAATATAGGAACGCTGAGTAGAGCGGTCAACACAAGTTCCAGAGCAGACGCAAACGCTTTCACGATAGAGTTTAATTTCTTGAGGAACAAGCTGGTGATGATACCGAGAACTGCGTTGTTTATCACTAGAGCTAGAACTAGAACCTGGAGTACTGAACCCAGAGAATCAGGAGATAAAGCAGAGATTATCTCACCCTAGAATATATACTTATATCATGGTTTAGTTGTATATCCTTTCTTTAGCTTTAGTTGGGACTACTTCTAAACCTTAGCTCCAGGTAGGATAAGTTCCTTATATTTGTTTTAGTTGGGACTACTTCTAAACCTTAGTTCCAGGTAGGATAAGTTCCTTATATTTGCTTTAGTTGGGACTACTTCTAAACTTTAGCTCCAGGTAGGATAAGTTCCTTATATTTGCTTTAGTTGTCCAGGTAGGATAAGTTCCTTATATTTGCTTTAGTTGGGACTACTTCTAAACTTTAGCTCCAGGTAGGATAAGTTCCTTATATTTGCTTTAGTTGGGACTACTTCTAAACCTTAGCTCCAAGTAGGATAAGTTCCTTACCTTAGCTTTAGTTGGGATAACTTCCGTACCTTAGCTCCAGGTAGGATAAGTTCCTTACCTTAGCTTCAGTTCGGATAACTTCCGTACCTTCGCTCCAGGTGGGATAAGTTCCTTATATATTCCTTGGGTGGGATAAGTCCATGTAGGAAGGTTCTTTATCAGATGGGATAAGTTCCTAACCTTAGCTCTGCGTAGAATAAGTTCATGACCTTAGCTCAGAGTAGGATAAATTGTTTACCTTAGCTCCGAGTAGGATAAGATTACAGAGGATGGAATCTAGATACATAAATACGTTCTGGATCATAATATCAACTCCAGAACCTTCTCCTGATAAATTAATTATTGTTAGCAAACGAAGGGAAAAAACTATTGTTTTTAATATTTGTTATCATTAAAGTTTTTTAATTTAATATTGATTTAATAAAGTAATTAAGTTTTTGCCACAAACTCGAATTTGTGCATCCCTATATATTTGCAACCTGACGGTGTGAACTTTGATATTTCAAACTTAGATTATTTGAATAGATATTATGAAATAGATAATTATCATTTAATAACACATAAATAGATTTAAGATGTCTGGACTCTAACCTTTTATTATATATTCGTTGTAGACTCCAGCAAACACACTGCACATAACCTAAACAATAAGCATAATATTCGCAACTAGCTTTATATCCCAGTTTTCAATGAACTATTCGCAACTAGCTTAAAAACCCCAGTTTTCGTTGAAATATTCGCAACTAGATTGAAACACACCAGTTTTCATTGAAATATTCGTAACTAGCTTGAAAACCCCAGTTTTCATTGAAATATTCGCAACTAGATTGAAAACCCCAGTTTTCATTGAAATATTCGCAACTAGATTGAAAACCCCAGTTTTCATTGAAATATTCGCAACTAGCTTGGAAACCCCAGTTAACATTGAAATATTCGCAACAAGATTGAAACACACCAGTTTTCATTGAAATATTCGCAACTAGATTGAAAACCCCAGTTTTCATTAAAAAATTCGTAACTAGCTTGGAAACCCCAGTTTTCATTGAAATATTCGCAACTAGCTTGAAAACCCCAGTTAACATTGAAATATTCGCAACAAGATTGAAACACACCAGTTTTCATTGAAATTTTCGCAACTAGCTTGAAAACCCCAGTTTTCATTGAAATATTTGCAACTAGATTGAAAACCCCGGTTTTCATTGAAATATTCGCAACTAGCTTGAAAACCACAGTTTTCATTGAAATATTCGCAATTAGCTTGAAAACCCCAGTTTTCATTGAAATATTCGCAACTAGATTGAAAACCACAGTTTTCATTGAAATATTCGCAACTAGCTTGAAAACCCCAGTTTTCATTGAAATATTCGCAACTAGATTGAAAACCACAGTTTTCATTGAAATATTCGCAATAAGCTTGAAAACCCCAGTTTTCATTGAAATATTCGCAACTAGCTTGAAGCCCCCCGTTTTCATTGAAAAATTAATAACCAACTTAAACCTTTTATACCAAGTCTAAATTGGTCAAGGGGTTCTTAAGTTATGATTGAACATGCAAACAGACAAACAAATAGAGATGACTTTACTACTTTTATTGGTTGTCTTGTCATGGATAATCATCATCAAAGATAATAGATAATCCTTATCAAAGTAATTAATATTCTTTTTTTTGTTTGTAACTCACATTACCCCATAGAAGGTGTATAGCCGGTCAGAATACAAAAAAAAAACACAAAATCATTTTAATCCTTTAAAAAAAATGTGGAAATCCGTCAATGAAAACAGGAAAATCTGCGAAGACATTAAAACTTTACCACAAACTCTGATTTTCTATCACAATAACCTTGCAACCAAATTTTGTAGACCTTAGATATTTTAAACTATAAATTCTGTTATCTATATAATAAAAAAAGACATTCGTGTATATGTGTATATGTTGCCTATGGCCGGCTAAACAGCTGGACCAATTGGGCTGAAATTTTTTGTAGACACTTACGGGTGGCCGGGGGTGTTACAGGCAAAAAAAAAGATTTTTTTTTCAAAACATTTTTTTAAAAATATTTTTTTTTCAAAAATTTAAAAAAAAAATTTTTTTTCACGGGCAACGCCGGGCCCTTCAGCTATTTTCAAATAATATCAAATATATTGGGGTAATAAAATTTGAATTAGTGACAAAGACTCAATTTCTTGGTTACTGTTAATTTTTGGAGAAAGATCAGCAATTGTTTCCAAAAAGAATAATGCAACGCGCCCTATAGTCATTTTTTAAATATACCTGAGTAAAAATGAAGAAGAATCCAGCTCCTAGAGCTGAAATTGAATCTTTATCTGAACCGAAACCCAGAGCACTGTTTCCGCCACCAGCACCATGGAACATACAACCTAATATCATGTCATCTAATGAAAATAGTAATAGTAATAATGATAGTAATAATAATAATAATAATAATAATAATAATAATAATAATAATAATAATAATAATAATAATAATAATATAATAATAATAATAATAATAATAATAATAATAATAATAATAATAATAATAATAATAATAATAATAATAATAATAATAATAATAATAATAATAATAATAATAATAATAATTTAATAATGGATGTGATTTTATCCCACCTAGAGTAAGAAGAGCAAGAGAAAACCATTGAATTCCACTTAATTTTCTCTTGAACAAAACCTGAAAACAAGATAAATAGAATTTTTTTTGAGAAACCCCATTTTTCCAGGTTTGTGCCCTGTGAGATTTTTCTTCTAAAACCTAAAACTCATTTAATATACCTGGTAAATTAACCTTGTAAGTATACAGGGGTACTCACAAAGGATGAGACTATAATGATGACCTAATACTCTATACCTGGTATATAAACCTTGTAAGTATACAGGGGTACTCACAAAGGATGAGAGTTCAATGACGACCTAAAACTCTATACCTGGTATATAAACCTTGTAAGTATACAGGGGTACTCACAAAGGATGAGAGTTCAATGACGACCTAAAACTCTATACCTGGTATATAAACCTTGTAATTATACAGGGGTACTCACAAAGGATGAGACTATAATGACGACCTAATACTCTATACCTGGTATATAATCCTTGTAAGTATACAGGGGTACTCACAAAGGATGAGACTATAATGACGACCTACTCACGTGGATATAACAGTTCTGTCAATATTCAAGAAATCTGTGACTTTTGATTACAATTTGACCCATTAAACATAATTTGTTAGCCTTTTTTCTTAAATACTTTTATGTCGGCATATGCATTTTCAATGAAAATGTATAAAATAAACAAATCCGTAAAGTAAATGATTATTTAATTAAAAACAAAAACACGTTTGATTTCAAATATGATTTCGAATGCTGCTCACTCTGCTTAGTCCGGTGTGTACTACTCTATACCTGATATATGAAGCCTGTGAGAATGAGTCTGATCTGCATGAACATGAAGTACGAGGTCGGGTTGAAGTAGGAGAGGGAGTAGAACGCAAGGTTGTTGTAGATACAGTAGAGAGAGGATGGAACTAGATAAAGGAAGAGGATGTAAAAGTTCTCCGATATAACCCGAACCATGGAGTGTATACTGTTCCTAGAAATACAAATCTTAAATATATGTATACTAGATTGGGAACCCAGCTTTGCCTGAAAACTAAACTTTCTCTATATAAATCAAAACATTCCATCGTTCTTCCGAGTAAATGGGTCTGTTTAAAATACACTAGCTGCGTTTCATGTTTGTTGGACTATGCAAAATCATAACTTGAGTCAACATTTTATTTTTATTCGAATTTTTCATACGCGTAAAAAATGCTCCAAAAAAACGATGAAAAATATTAAAGAGGTAGATCAGATTTGAAAATATTAAAGAGGTAGATCAGATTTGAAAATATTAAAGAGGTAGATCAGATTAGAAAATATTAAAGAGGTAGATCAGATTTGAAAATAGGTAGATCAGATTTGAAAATATTAAAGAGGTAGATCAGATTTGAAAATATTAAAGAAGTAGATCAGATTTGAAAACGGTAGAATTTTGGGAAAACAGTGTATAAGACCATCAATTAATATCCCTAGGATTGAATTTAATAATTCTAAACTGCCATGCGCCGCCGCGCCGGTTAAATTTGAAGCACAGATTTAAATTCTTCCTTAATCTTTAATTTTTAATCGGTTGTTTAAATTTGAACCGACAGTAGGTAGTTCTGCGACGTAGCTTAAATTTATTAAATTCGGTACCTGGCTATAGTTCAGACTTATATTGAAAAACTATTTTAAAAATTCTTACTGTGATATATATACTGAAGCGGAAAGGATGAGTTTCAGAATCTCTGTGAGTAGAACCACCGTTGTAACATTGTAACTATATTCAGTTGATCCTTTACGAGAACTCGTAACTAAAACATAAACCGTTGTAACATTGTAACTATATTCAGCTCGTAACTAAAACATAAACCGTTGTAACATTGTAACTATATTCAGCTGATCCTTTACGAGAACTCGTAACTAAAATATAAACCGTTGTAAAATTGTAACTTTATTCAGTTGATTCTTTACGAGAACTCGTAACTAAAACATAAACCGTTGTAACATTGTAACTATATTCAGCTGATCCTTTACGAGAACTCGTAACTAAAATATAAACCGTTGTAAAATTGTAACTTTATTCAGTTGATTCTTTACGAGAACTCGTAACTAAAACATAAACAGTTGTAACATTGTAACTATATTCAGTTGATCCTTTACAATAACTCGTAACTAAACCAGAACAATTCTTTTTTGGTTTCTAAGTGTAATATTTTTAAAGTTAAATTTGATCACCTAGTAATCCCTGTGAAACGAACATTGCCATGTATAGAAGAAAGACGACCCCACTGGAGGGAGTAGGGAAGAAACCTTTGATATCATCTTTACTGAGTAACCAACCCATTCTTCAACTAATCTTGGAACTAGCAGATAGAGTTTCTTAATCCTAAACTCACAGATTGAAAATAGATAATGAAATTATATTAGTACAGAGGCAGGACATTTTGATGGTTTAATCCCTTCTTAAAGCAATAATCTGTTTATTTCCCTCTTCAGGAGTTTAATCTTAATAATTTTTAAACTCTCTTTCTATTTAATTTTCATCCATATTTATTCAAAAGATTTCTTTTATCTGAATATCAAGTTAAAGATTCTAAAGCAGCATGCAATCTCTGAGAACAAACTCAAGAGGAATTAATCAGATCACGAATTAAAATTAGGAGCAAGTACGTTAAAATGTTATTTGAACAACTCAAATTACGACATAATCGTTGTTTAATCTGTTCCTAAACTGATCTCTTCATTGAAAATCCACTGACACAAAATTTAAATGTTCTTTTTGTCTCTTGTGGAATATTCAGATTAATGTTTAACTACGATCCAATTTTTCAGGTTCAAGGAATACTCTTCTCCGGGTTCAAGGAATACTCTTCTCCAGATTCAAGGAATGCTCTTCTCCAGGTTCAGAGAAAACTCTTCTCCAGGTTCAAGGAATACTCTTCTTCAGGTTCAAGGAATACTCTTCTTCAGGTTCAAGGAATACTCTTCTCCAGGTTCAAGGAATACGTTTCTCCAGGTTCAAGGAATACTCTTCTCCAGGTTCAAGGAATACGTTTCTCCAGGTTTAATAAATACTCTTCTCCAGCTTCAAGGAATACTTTTCTCCAGGTTCAAGAATAAATACTCTTCTCCAGCTTCAAGGAATACTTTTCTCCAGGTTCAAGGAATACTCTTCTCCAGGTTAAAGGAATAAAGGAATACTCTTCTCCAGGTTAAAGGAATAAAGGAATACTCTTCTCCAGGTTCAAGGAATACTCATCTGAAAAAGTAAATGCTATCTTTGACGGATTTTAAATGAAAGATCAAAATGAACTTTAAATACTGTATTTTTTACAATAACAATGATAACTAACTAGCACCACTATAAAACATGTAAATACTGTATTTTATACAATTACAATGATCACTAACAAACACCACTATATAAACTGTAAATACTGTATTTTATACAATTACAATGATAACTAACAAACACCTTTATTTAAACTGTAAATACTGTATTTTATACAATTACAATGATAGCTAACAAACACCATTATATAAACTGTTAATACCGTATTTCATACAATTACAATGATCACTAAGAAACACCACTATTTAAACTGTAAATACTGTATTTTATACAATTACAATGATCACTAACAAACACTACTATATAAACTGTAAATACTGTATTTTATACAATTACAATGATAACTAACAAACACCACTATATAAACTGTGAAAACTGTATTTTATACAATAACAATGATAACTAACAAACACCACTATATAAACTGTGAATACTGTATTTTATACAATTACAATAATAACTAGCAAACACCACTATATGAAGTGTAAATACTGTATTTATACAATAACAATGATAACTAAGAAACACCACTATATAAACTGTGAATACTGTATTTTATACAATTACAATGATAACTAGCAAACACCACTTATATGAAGTGTAAATACTGTATTTATACAATAACAATGATAACTAAGAAACACCACTATATAAACTGTGAATACTGTATTTTATACAATTACAATGATAACTAACAAACACCACTATATAAACTGTAAATACCGTATTTCATACAATTACAATGATAATTAACAAACACTACTATATAAACTGTAAATACTGTATTTTATACAATTACAATGATAACTAACAAACACCACTAATGATAACTAACAAACACCACTATATAAACTGTAAATACTGTATTTTATACAATTACAATAATAACTAGCAAACACCACTATATAAACTGTAAATATTGTATTTTATACAATAACAATGATAACTAGCAAACACCACTATATGAAGTGTAAATACTGTATTTATACAATAGCAATGATAACTAAGAAACACCACTTTAACAACTAAAATACTGTATTCTATACAATTACAATTATCACCTAACAGTCACTACTATATGAACTGAATGTTAAACATAAAAGTGTGGAAAGCTGAAACTCTTATCTTTGTATGGTCCTAGTCCAACTAATCCACTAGTCAGACATTGATTATAGAGTTTACTTTATACATGAATACGATTCATACCACACACACACATACATTTTAAATCCTGAGAGAAATGCAAGCGCCTTTACCTAAAAAATACAAACTCTATAGTAAATCCTGAGAGAAATGCAAGCGCCTTTACCTAAAAAATATAAACTCTATAGTAAATCCTGAGAGAAATGCAAGCGCCTATACCTAAAAAATACAAGCTCTATAGTAAATCCTGAGAGAAATACAAGCGCCTATACTTAAAAAAAAACAAGCTCTATAGTAAATCCTGAGAGAAATGCAAGCGCCTATACCTAAAAAATACAAGCTCTTTAGTAAATCCTGAGAGAAATACAAGCGCCTTTACCTAAAAAATACAAGCTCTATAGTAAATCTGGAGAGAAATGCAAGCGCCTATTCATAAAAAATACAAGCTCTATAGTAAATCCTGAGAGAAATGCAAGCGCCTTTACCTAAAAAATACAAGCTCAATAGTAAATCCTGAGAGAAATGCAAGCGCCTATACCTAAAAAATACAAGCTCTTTAGTAAATCCTGAGAGAAATACAAGCGCCTATACCTAAAAAATACAAGCTCTATAGTAAATCCTGAGATAAATACAATTGCGCCTATACCTAAAAAATTCATCTTATTTCTGTAATCTTTGCGGTAAGAAATAGAGAACACGTGTACCTTAACCTTGGAAAAATGACTTTTACATTCTATATTCTAAATTTCCAGGATTGGATCAATATCGGAAATATTTATTTCCATCCTTCCATTTAATTTTAATACCTCCCGGAGTTGAACCTGTAACCTTCATGTATTATGTATAAGCATGGAGAAGAATACCACAGAATAGAAGCATCGCATGATCTGGAACCTTGATTATTGATGGATCCCTGACCTTAGATCAGTCCAGGATCAATCATGGTACAGTCTAGTGCTCAGGTTAGGTTTGTGGTTTGCTCCGGTATTCTCCAGGTGGGGCTGGCCATCATATACGGAACCAGTGTTAGGTAAATCTAGCATTATTAAAAAAAGTTTATTATATTTCGACGAATTTAATCAATCTTTTTTAAGTTTAGTATTTGAATTCTTGAATTTCAAAAAAAAATAATTAAGATTCAAAGAAGGAAATTATATTAAGTTATAAGATATTAGTTTATTTTTACATAATTAATAGTATATTAAAATTAACAAAACTACATAAATACGTTATTCATTTCTATTCTTTTGTGTGTGTGTTTTTTTTTAATATATTTATTTTCAATTAAATGGCGTGATAATAAGCAAACAGTAGACTGCTTCACAATTTTCTTTTAAATAGAAATACTGCAGCAAGGATTTAGAAATCGTAACTGATGTCCATGAGGGAGGAATTTTTGTGTGAAATATCCTTAATCTTGAACACTTGATCTAGATATCCAACTTAAGTCCTTATAAATGGATCCCTTAATCCAAGTTATCCCTGTAGTTATTACGGGCCATCGAAGAGGGATTAAAATAATCCGGAGATCTGCAAAAGACAGAGATCAATACTTGATTCCGAGATTCTGACTTCAGCATCACATTTTCAGAGAATATACAGTTACATACAGAGAGTCCCCTATCATATTATATATACAGAGAGTCCCCTATCATATTGGATTATCTCCAACCTTTAAAGCCAAAATATGAACATATATTACTCGAAAAACCTAGTTTTTTCTTCAAATTTTTTTTATTAGCCTTACACATTTTTTTTAAATGATTCATTCTTTTTAAAATTTCTGAATACTCCTTAAAATATGATGTGGGACACCCTGTGGAGCACCTATGGGACACCTGTGGGACACCCTGTGGAACGTACACCTGTGGGACACCCTGTGGGACACCTGTGGGACACCTGTGGGACACCCTGTGAAACGTACACCTGTGGGACACCCTCGGAGATATTTCTGATCAAAAGAGAAAGCATTAAATACCATGTACACGGTGTCCCACGAATCATGACAGTTGGTGTACGGTTTAAAATGTCTTCTTCCATTATTTGATAAGTTGTTTGATACAAAAGAGACTAATAACATTTTTCATATGACAGTTATATTGTAGTAAAATTGATTACACAGTAAAATATATATCACATTTTTTTAAAGTAATAAACTGAAAAAAGTCTTTATAAAATAATGCACTATGTTGAAGAAGACATTCAAAACTATTCATGTTTCGTGGGACACCCTGTATGTATAGTGTATACAGGTACATGTCAGGGATCCATAGATTGCCTTGTCCTTTGTTTGTAACTGTTACGCGAGCCATGCTGCGTTGATAAGTCTATGTGGTGCCCCTGTGAATTCCTGAGTTCTCCCTACGGATCTGTACAGAACGTATTGTAAAAAACTAGTTTTAGAAGCTGTTTACAGACCGACTACGCATGCGCAAGTTTCGTGTGTGGAAGCGGGCAGATTCTACCTTAGTATATATTTGTTTTTCATGCAAGATTTGTCTATTATTAAAACCGTGTTAAATTTCTAGGATCACTGCGGTAATTATGCTTTATATATATATGAATATTGTTTATTTATGTTCGGTTGTGGTTTGATATCTTATGAATGTAATGTATTGGTTCCATTCCACAGTTTTTTAATGCCTGAGTTGATTTATTGCTGTATTTTGTATGATTTTATCACTCAATGCTTTTTCTGTGGGTTTATAAAAAACTTGTTTAGATTGAAGTCTCGGAGAAATAAACGTTCGGAACCATATTATTATCCTTTATTATGGAGAGTAATCAGAAGAGGAAGGCTTACAATCCTATCTCGAGAAATACCGCACGGTGCATTTAGGAAAAATCGCTAAGTAGCGAAACATTCAATCGCAACCTTGTAGGGTACTGGTTAACTAATTGAGATTGAGCAAAAAGTTTCTCGTTGCCGCTATATTGCCTGAATTGGAAAATATACGGACTGACGTAGGAACAAGCTTACAAGGAAGCTTTATTAAACTGAGATCCTTCAACAGTCCTAACTCTTATCATTTATTAGATTTATATCTAGTAAATTGAGGCGGGACGTCTAGTTGAATTAATAAACTGGATTTGTTTCTCGTTGTCAGTATATTGGCCAAATTGGAAAAATATAGTGAAGGACCGAGTGAACAAAGTCTAAGTTATGAAATTGAATATTAATGGAATGTTCGTGATTGGATGATTGGATGATTGGATGAAAGCAGTTTACCTGAGATTTATGATCCACTGTCAGTACCTTCTTGGTCAATATCTTGAAGGGACGAACACTGGACTATACCAAGAGATTTAATTTATTGAGATATTCCCTCACCGTTAGTGTATTTGCCAGATAGGAGAAATATATTGAGTGAATGAGGAGAATAACTCTGCCTTGAGATCAATTAATAAATCCTGAATGTTGTTGATCATGTTAAGGATGACAATTGATTGAGTCTAATTTATTGAGCTATCTCTCATCCTTGATTTATTTGCCAGTTCGGAAAAATATGTCAAGTGACTGAGCGGGATAACTCTATTCTTTGAGATTAACTTGATAATCCCTACATGTCTTCGTGATTTGATGTGATAGGGGGATAAATTGTTGGATTTGGGCTTAATTTAACCTACTTAATATTCTATAAATGCCAGATTGGAAATTTATGGGGGAACGTGTTTAAGTGTGGTGAAATTTGTTTGAGCTCATTTCCTAGTTTGCCATGCGGGGCACAGGGAGGAGTAGGTCTATGTCAGAGGGGGAGGGGGATAGACTGAGCAGTACCTTAAATTTACCTGAAGCCGCAAGATTTAATCGATTTGAGATTATTGATTCCAATAGATATGCGTCCACTCCTAAGATTAATGTTACGGGGTTTATTGATGACAACCTTGAAAGCAGCAGGGGGACGCGATTTGAATCAAGGGTACGCACTAGATCGCGGACTGTTTCAAATGCTATTGATGTAAAACTGAGAGATGATTTGTCCCAACATAGAGATGAGATAATTAAGTGGGGGGAATTGGCATGCTCTGTTCCACAGATGATGAATGTTATTGAGGCTAATCATAGAACATTTTTGGGGAATATTGAGCTGAAAATCTCAGAAGTTTTAGTAACTAAAGGGGATTTAGTGTTGGTGGGAGAACTGGGGAATCTCAAGGATAGATTGAGTGGAATCCGGAAGAGAGCCCGGCAGATATCCAGGGATTACTCAGGAGTACATCCCCAGCAGGATGAACGTGCACCAGTTCAGGAGTCTGGTGGCGAAAGAGAGCAGGAGATAATGATGTGAAGTTGTGATCTGGATTACGTGTTCCATAACAAGGAACCAATAGAGAGGTCATCACCGTACAGTGTTGTGTCTGCACCTATTTACAGGGGAGGAGAAACTCTGGGTGAATCCAGGAGTAGTGGAGCAGTGGTAGGATCGAGACCTGTAGGATCAGGACTCGGATCTACTAGGCCAAACACCCCGCAGGATTTACAGTCGTGCAACTCTACAAATCGGAGTGAGGGATCTACAAATCGCGGTCAACCAGGAATCGTTCTCTCCAACCCAAGGATAGATGTTGATTTGCAACCTGATGGTGTCCATTTTAGAAGTACAGGAATGGGTGGTTTAGGGTTTGTTCAATCAGACTCTGCCCTGCCTAGCCTAACCACTCCCAGAGTTTTGCAACCTGAAGGAGTAGCCATCCGGAGAGCTTTAGATTTGGACCTGAACGGATCTCTAGAAGAAGTAATATCAAGATTGTCTGCAGAAGGATTGAATGCTGATAATCAGAAGGATCAATGGGCAAAATTGATGAAGCAACGCCAGAGTATTGTTGAGGAGAAGGTTAGCAACCTTGTCAGTGGGATGAGGAAGTTATCTACAGCAGTTCATGGAGCAGAAGCTATGTATTTGGAGTTACAAGACAAGATTGGGATCCTGGAAAGCAGTAATTCTAAGATTTGGGAGAGACTGGATCTGGAGGATCAGAGGTTTATCAGGCTAGAAGCTAGTG